ATAAATACAAAATAAAAAGGAATGCAAAGAACTTCCGGAAATAAGGCTTTAAACAAAAGGTTACTCGAGGGTCCTCGCTGGGTGCCTTCAGAACCTCTCCTACCTTGCTCAGCCAGATCTCAGGGCCCAGCACAGCCGACACCAGGTGAATGGCTATGATTGAAAACTGCGCCTCCGTCACATCAATTCGTCCGAAGCGCATCGTTCCGGACACATAGGTCTGCCAGTGGGCGCAGTAAAAGAGAGCTATAGCACAGAAGCACTGAAAGAGAAGTTCAGAATTCATCTCGCTCTGAATAAGCTGTGCGTAATCCACTCACCTGGAAGAACAGCCAGTTGGGGTAGTGTCCCAGTTGGCAGGAAATGCACGCCGACAGGGCCACGAACACCGTGGATATGGAGTCACAGCCATGGTCGAAGAGCTCGCCCAGCGGCGAGGAGGTGTTCGTGCGTCGCGCCTGCTTCCCGTCGATGGAGTCCAGACTCTGGTAGATGAAAAGGCCCAGGGCGCAAAGCACACAGGTCCAACGTGGCGGAGCCTCAACGCCATTTGGGCTATAACTGAATGTGGATATGGGAAATCAGTGAGTTAATAGCTTGTCAGTCACAACAGACGTTTTACATGAAGAGGGGTAACTGCTTGGTTAAAAGGAATTTTCGCATTTGAGACCTTATTAGCTGGTTTTTCTTTAATAACGTTCAAATTTTGTAATATTGTTATGAACTTGCTTTGAATTTGATACAGGTTTTGCATAACTCGAGAAGGCGACCCTGAATTTATTGATTATAAGTTGAGTAAGCTTATTCATTGCAGTACTTGACCTATCATTCAAGGAAAATCTTAATAAAACAAAACTAGAAATTAAAGCAGTTGACAAAAATAAATATCGTAGGTATAACAATCCGCCGATTACAATTAAAACCCAACGATACCATCTTATTATAATTTCCCTTAAATTGTATAAACGCTTGTAAGTGAAAAATAAAATGAATTAAGGCTGTACTAGAATGCCAAGTGTATAATTTCAAACCGTTTCGTACGTTTCCAGGTCAATTAGCCGAACCATTCCCCTTCGCAATGAAAACAGACTGACGTCAGTGACCATAAGATCGCCTGATGAGCAAAGTTCCCAAGCTGGGTTTCTTAATTAGCACTCAGGTTAAGAATAAAATCACTACTTTGCTACTGCCACTTGAAAATGTCTGATAAGCGGACTGCTATCTCCTCCGCCATGTCGCCAAATCAGCTGACTTTGCGGTTCCGGCTCGCAGTTTCGGCACACTACAACCAGCGGAAAGAATAGAACACCTGATTCCAGCTGAATCATCATGCAAAGATTGACACTACTTTATCGAGTTCCACTGACCTAGACAAGTTCAGCAAAATCCACAAGCGGACTGGCAACAGTTCGTTTTTTAGCAAAACAAGAATTATTAAACAAATACAAAAGTGCAAACAAAAGTAGAATAACAATGGATACAGTGCAAATAAAACCGGTCCCGTCTTTTGGCTAGGTTTGTGAATGAATATATAGATCCTATAGCATGTATTTTGCGCTAAAAATAACAGAAACCGACACGTGAGCAGCATTGAAGGTGATTCATCTAGGGGACAGAAGTAAATGTCTTTTCACTCTCTTTGGTTGACATGCCAGCCCTCTGAAGCAATCAGCCATAATTGAGAAAAAGTAGTCAGACTAAATGCTTTCTATATAAATATTTAATTTCCAAAAAAAGTCATGCATAGCTATACTTTTAATAATTCATTTCACATGACTTTTGCCCCTCTTACTAGACTTTACCTCGCAAATAGGTGTTAAAAACAGCAGCCTTTCAGTGTTTTACTATTTTTCACCTCTTTATCGCCTACATACTCAGTGAAATATACCAAGAAACACAGAAATACGCTGCTTTCTGGGCCATATCTCTTGAATTCAAGGTTTTTTCCACAGCCAGGGAGAAAGTCAGTCTCTCTAAAAATAGTTCTTGTAATTGCTACAACTTTTTTGTTTGTTAAGAGTAGCGGAACATGTTTAAATGCCGGACTTTGGTGGGAAGACCCATAAAAATCAATTAGAAATGCAAATTGTCATTCTAATTCAATCAAAGGTATCCCAATTGAAAGGCAAACAATTGGAAAATGCAAAATGTGCCCCCTGGGTTAACTCATGTGAACTTTGCTTTGGCAAACTGCGGCTTTTTAAAAAGTTCTTAAACGCCAGGCTTCTGGTACCTGTTGGATTTCGAAGCAGTGTTTCATTAGGCTTTACATGCAGCCACGATTAGCCAGCCTTTGTTTATTTACTTATCGTTTGAAATTGCCATTTTTTGCAACGCCCTCAGGCTAAAGAAATGCGTCACAAACCGACGACAAACGACGATGATTGCGATTACTTATATTTCGCGCAGTTCGCATGTAATGGGTAAAGTGGCGAGACGCCCTCGCTATCTTATCGCTGCCATAGTTTGTGTCCAAGTACTGAAGAGGGGGTCCGCGTATCCGCCAGTTCCACGCCTCTCCGCCATCTGGCTTAGTTAGTTAGCTAAGTTATGGAATGATACGCTATCGCTACGCATTATGAAACGAAAACGGCAGGTCGCCTGATTTTCCTGTCTTGCAGAACTACTTAAATACAAAGTTACTATTAACATTGGTGCGTTTACAAACAAATGATTTTGTTTTCCTAAGAAGACAATATATTAGTTAATAAAACCAGTAATGAAACAATTTAAAAAGCAAACTGCATTAACTAATATTTGAAAAGTCTTCAAAAGTATTTTTTTTTATATTTTATTTTATGCCCGCTTAAATAATAAATAATCTGAAAATGTATCTGGAATTTCCTGATACACACCTAGAATCTCTACGAATCTCTGACAAAATTACATAAAGTGCTGGCAAAATAAATCAAGCAATCAAATATGTTAATCTCGGGATAGTAGATTCTACGAACCCAATGTTTCTAAATTTTCTTTAAAAAGCTGACAAACCCAAGCAAACAAATCCGGCAAACTGAAAGTGACAAGTGACAGTTGAAAGAGCGAAGCAAACAGCTGATGCAGATTCCTAATCCCCGCCAATTGATGTGATTTGTTTCTCGCCAGGCAGCATTTAAAGGCTGGGAATGCGATTTTGCGGGGGTCAAGGGGTCACCGGAAAGTTTTCCAAGGCGACGGGCTTACCAGATTAGTATCAGCGTGGTGACCACATTGAGGATCAACCCCACGATGGTGATGAGGTTGGGGGCCAGCCACAGGGGCGTCTGGGCCACCAGCCAGTTCCACCACGGCTGCAGCAGCGGGTCGAGGAGGCTGGCGCTGAAGCAGGAGTACTTGTGCTCGCTCAGCTTCCTCAGCTGCTGGGCACTCAGGATGTGCTTCTCGCGGTAGGCGAGCAGCGGCAGCGCCATTTTCCCTCGAGTTACGTCGTGCGAATTCCGATTGCGAATCCCTGACGCTCTTTTCGCTTTTCACTTTTCACTTTCCTCTGACCTAGCGCTTTTCCCTCGCGCGCATTTGTGTACGTGTTCCTCGCAGCGCGCCTATGTGTGTGCGCTCGCTTTTCCTGGCTGTTTCCACACGTGGACCGCAGTGGTGGCGAAACTGCGGGTCGCGCTTTGTCCAGCGGTTGAGAACTGTGGCGAGGGCGGCTGAACGGTTACGTGGGTGCGCGCGGCGACTCCGCACTTGTATGTTTACTTAACAAATTTAACTTAATTGGACGACCGAGCCGTGCAGTTTTTTTTCTTATTTCTATATGAGCGGTGTGACCGTGGCAGGGAGTTAAAAATAATCCATTAGGGATTTCCAATGAAATACCAAATTTATACCGCAAAGCAAACGGCCCTGTGGGTGGAGAACTTCGACATTTCTGGCCCACACTTAACATTAGCCGCGTTCAGCGGAACAACATGATACCTGATTGAGGTGCAGAAATATCGATTTTTTCCGTGTGACATCGATAATTGCCTGTTAAAACATCGGAAAAGCGATGTTTTCTGCACCTTTAATACTTGATCACTGATGGAATTCTTACGAAAGTTCTGTTGCAAAAAGTTACTGATCATAAGTAAAAAAATGTAAAAATAGTACGGTACATTTTCGTAATACATGATATCATGAAATATCGATTTAACATAATTATTATTAAAAACCCATGAAGTAAGTTAAATTCTTTACAACTTTTAGGCCTTTTTGATTTTTACGTTTCCACGATTGCTGTGCGCAATGCTACAGTTGCGGTGGCAACCGAATTCGCAACTTTTATTAAAAAACATTTGTTTATAAAAGGATTGTTAAGGCCGTAAGGCTTTGCATTGCATAACGGAGTTTTTCAGGTAAAACGTTTTACGTTTTTAACGTCGTTGTGTATCTTGAGCGTTCAGCAAAACAAACTTGATCACTGATTACTGATCTATCAATGTTAGACTTTTAGTTAAGACTAAAACCCGAGGCTTCGTTAGTTTAACAGCGACGTTTCGTTCAATAACAGTTTTCTGTTAAAATTATCGTAAAAAACTATCGATAGCAACAGTCTTTAAAAACCCCCTCCAACCGAAACCAAATTCAAATTTATATATCATAGTTTATTAGATAAATCAGTTTGTTGCTTATACTACGTCCTCAACTTAACATACCGTATGCAATGTTTCATTTGTGTATTTGCTTGTTAGTTATTATCTAAACCTTGTCATTTGCCTGCTTTATTGTTACGATTAGAATTTAAGTTTAAATATGCGGCTACTACTGGTTCTGGGCCGAGAAATGTTCGCCAACGCCTGCAAATATGCTCAAAAAGTACAAAACTGTCGTGCGTCCAGCTGCTGGCCAATATAAATTGCGGCTTATGTAAACTATGGCCTATCAAAAGTTATTTTTGATGTGTTGTTTCCATGAGGCATCGTCGTCGTGATTCTTAGTTTGGTGGATATTAGGAAAATGTATAAATGTATTTGCTTCGATATATATATATATAGAGATAAAAAAATAGGCTTAAAATGTTTCGTTTTAGCGTTTTGTTGTTGTTTAAATTACTTTATATTGGCAACTCTCATTACATTTGTTTATGCATATAGTTATGTAGTTGAAAAACGATGGAACGTGCAACTATTTCGCCTTGCTGATGACAAAAAAGGTTTTACACAGCACACTCAACCAATTATAAATAGTAGTAGTAATAATTTATAGCACAATATGATATAGCAGCAGTTTGAAACTTTTTACACATGTCACAAATGTTTCCATCCGTTTTTATGATTTCTTTTTCGCCTATAATCGAGTTGGTGGTCAGAAGACGGTATGCAAACAATAAAAAAAAACAGACAGCTACATACATAGCTAAATTATTGACAGTTTCAAATTTTAAAGTGGGGGACAAAATTTCATCTTATTAAATTGCAGTCGCCGCAAAAAGTGCATGTGCAGCCGAGGCCTAATATCGTTAGTTTTGCGTTATGGAGATACATATTTAATTATAGATGCGTGCATGTATGCATATAGTAACCAGCGATGCAAAATTAATTTAATTTACGTGGTAGGCATTTACGATAATATAATATAATTTTGTTTTAATTGTCTTCTGCTTTGAGACATTTAGGCAAATGTTTTGTTTTCATAGTGAATTGGTTTTGTTTTCTATAAAACGTGTTAAGCATTAGGTTGGTTGGTAATTTGTTATCATATAATCATAATAATAAGTGTTTATTCGCTTTGAAACGCACTCCGTCAAACATCAAATAAACTAAAGAGCACATTTAGGGCAATTCTCACACTCGTTTCGGAGCACAGTACAAATATTTTCTTTATCGAACTTAAATTATATATTTATATCAAAATCCGCTCGCTTACAATAATAATAATAGTGCCATCTGGTATGTAGACGTACTTGCATACCTATAGTTGCGGTCAAAGTGCTAGCTGTGAGTTTTGCTTTCTGTGTAGCAAGATGCCAAAGAAAAGGTCGGATCAAGTGCTTTTATTCGGCCGCAGCTATAAATACACAAATAAATGTACATATCTAGTTTAAAGTGTCACTCAGTTGCTATGAAACGATTTCGTAATGGTATCGTAATGTATTGTTTTATCAAAAAACGTCAAAACGTAAAAATGCATTCGGCTTATAGGCTTAAACTTGTTTTGTATACGTTGTCTACAGAATTTATGTCCTCGCTTCTTGTATATAAATATTTAAAATTTGTGTTTAGTTCCTTCTTGCTGTTATTTGCAATTGCTGATGATGCTGCCCAATTGTTGAGGGGTGTGTTGTGTTTTCTGCGGTGAAGGGAAAGGGGTGTGTGTGGCGTCGCTCCTTAGAAGTTATCTTATTATGAATGATATGGCGTCACATAAGTTGCTGGGAAGATTCCTTTCCTATTGCCGATCTCGCCGTTCCACCAGTTCTCATCGGAGCGGTCTGTGACGGTGATGACATCGCCGCGTCTGAAGTCCAATTCCCCGGATTCCTGTGGCACAAAATCGTACAGCGCCTGCACGAGCATCTGCAATAAGAAATCGGTGGGAGATCATGAGTCGAATCTAATATTCTTGGCATCGCTGTTTGTTTATAGTTCAAATGGGTGGGCGGCGACGTGCAAAAGCATGACCTCAATGTGTTACGCAAAACTTGTATTTTTAAAACGAGTCCGTATGTCTGTTCGGCAGAATCGTCAGCGAAATGGACGGCACACCCACCTCTTCAGGTATCATATCACGCAATTTGACATCCTGCGACCGGGACACGCTCGCTGTCCGATGATATTCGACCAGTTCGTTGAGGGAGTTGAACTTGACCACCCAGAGGAAGAATTTGCTTTGGGCATCGCGCAGAACCTTGAAATGCTGAACACCATCGGGGCACCTGTGCGGCAAAAACGTTATTAATTTCAGTTCTGTGGAAGGCATCTCGTGAAGAATCTTACTTGACTGATAAGGAGAAATCGCCGGGACTGGATTCGCTGATGCGTATCAAAAAGGCGCCTTCGTGCTTATTTGAAAGTAACTTCTCGGCATCAGCGCGTGTGATACGCCCGTAATACCAACTACAAAGTAAATTATGATCAATTGAGTTTTGATTTAGGAGTTTCGGCTTGAACTTACTCGTGGTTCTTCATTTCTATGTAATTACTGGGTATGAGGCCTTCCTTCCCATCCAGCTCGGCGCGATACCAATTTGAATCATCTTCCATATTTAATATCTGTAAAATAGGGTTTTATAATTTTGGTCAATAAATAATCTAACTTAACTTTTTCAATGACACTGGTTTTAATAAAAATTGGAAGTATAAAAAAAGTTAAGTCTTTGAAAACGAATTGGATTTAGGTAGATGGTTAATTCGTATGACATCGCTTAATTATTTGAAGTAAAGGAGTCAATAAAACACACATATTTTAATGGGTTTCTAAATTAATATTGCTTTTTTTATAGTTGACAATGGGACAAAAAGTAACCGAACGTCATTCAGACTTTAAAATTCCATTATGTACTTTCCTTAGTTAATCCTTAAAAACCACGAATCGTAAAATTCTTGTTCTTCGCTTTCTTTTCCAACATCGTTTCAAAATACAAGAATTTGACTTTGGGTAAATTTAGAATTACATTTGGTAAGTGTTAATAAATTTATTAAAACCGCCCTTTAAATTCTGATTTAACGAAATTTAATTGCCTGCATCTGTCAGCTACACACCAAATACAAAATGAGAAACACGACCCCCAAAAGGCTTACAAAGAACCTGCTTCTGATGCTTCCATTTTAAAGGCCACACCCCTTTAATCGCCCCAGACAATGGGGATCAATCGAAGCATTCTTCCGCTTTGTTTATTGGAGACTGGCCCGATTCCCCAGAGATTTCGATAAACAATTTTCAATTGTTTGTTGATTGGACTCCCAAAACTGTGTCAGGGCGCAATCAACGGCAGGCAATGAAGAGAGGCTTACGCCTTGGGAAACATGTCTACTATCTCCCCTATTCTCATATCTGTTTCTTGCGAACCACTAAAAATAAACAAGCATTATGGCTGACATGTGATAAGAATGTTAAGTGAATCGGGGCTCGTCGAGTGGGCGAATTTCACTTTTGGGTGTCTAATGGACTTTTTCCTAGCTGCTCTTTTGTCTGCCGCCCATTTCGCATGCCAATGACACAACAGTAGTCCACGTAATCGCAGTCTTTTATGATTTCTTTCAATTGACAGACAAAATCGAAGTTTGCTATCTGCAAAGGTCTCGTAGTTTGCTTAGCCACTGGGAATTCCCATATTTGAGAGTGCTGAATGAGAGTGTTGACATCGACCTCCACGCACCTGTGTTGAAATCCGCAGCCATCAGCCTTCGCCGTATTTGATTTTGGTTTAAGGAACTGTCCCCAAAAAGACGTAGTAAAGGTATTTATTGCGCAAAGGTCAGGATTCCGGACCAGCAACACCTTATAAGCCTTAAGTAAATGCGGTGCTATCTCTATGTATTTCTTTCATTTTTCGCCAACGGATTTTTCCTTGAGTAGTTGAGTTATTTGGCAGGTTTGTTGTTGTTTCCCAATAACGTTCGTTCGTCAAGTTGGAATAAATGAATGACACTCAAATGAGTCACTAAGCCCCTGTTGATACTGTGTAGTTCAGGGGTTGTTGGGTTCCCGAAGTTGCAAGAAGTTCTGCGTCACCGGTAATTTCCCTATTAATGCTTCATCGACTTAGTCATAAATAAAGCTGGGTGGGAAATTCAAGGGGTTGTTTGCTATCTCATAGTCTATGAATTCTTTCGATTGATAGACCAAATTGAAGTTTGATTATTTGCAAAGGTTTCGCTGTTTGCTTAGCCAGTGGGAAATCCCATATTTGAAGGTGTGTTAATAATAAAAGCCGCCCAATTCCTATATTAAATAAAAATCAGCATTTGGTTTTAGACCGATCGTTTAGTTTTAAACAGTATCTAAATACTAATATATGTAATGAGCAGTTCATATTATTTGAAAGTTCCCAGGTAAAAGATACTACAAAGTCGAGTCAATCTTGTGCTTTTTGGTTGAATTTTCGCACGTCGGATTGTGAGAGGGATTCGGGTGGTGTGGGGTGTCAAAGTCGATTCCAGCTTATGTAAAACTCAATTATTGTTTTCACTGTTGGCAGTGGCAGTGGGATTTGCCCGCTCAGCTGGATCGGTCCCGACTAATTGGCATAGCTCCATAGTTCTAACCACCCCCATAGCCGATCCCACCCGCATCTGTCACCCAGACATTGTTCATCGTATATTTATTTATTTTTAGCCTGTTTCATTCATTGAAAACAGTCTGCCGAGAAAATTTCCACGGATTCGTCGTCTATTACAGAAAGTTTTCTCGCGGCCCTACACACAGAGAAATAGAAGGGTGATCTGTGATCTCAGGATGATTTTTGGTTAAGCATGCGGCAGTAAGATATTTCGTTTTTAAGGCCGTGTTATTGTGACAAGTAGTAGCCGTACTAGTACTACCCCATGTTAAAACTTTTTCAGGGGTAACTATTAGTTTTCAGTGCAGGGAATGTGCCTGGCTGTTGGATAATGCATAAATATTTTGCGGCGCTCTCGGAAAGCTGGCACGTAGTGGCCATGACTGTTATTATCAATTGTTTATTCTCGTATGTTTATGTAATTACTAGAGAAAAATTCTATTGTAGGTTCAGATTCGGGTTCTACGCTGAAAAGTGTCAAAGCGGCACGAACGCTCACTTTTCGTTGTTTTTGCGACCAGCGAATATTGAACTTGGAATCCCATTTCGGGTATTCGTTATGATAAAACAGGGATTATATTGGTGTCAGACAAAGCCGTTAGAATTCGAAGTATAGTTCCCAGAAAATTGAAATCCAAATATCCAAGAAATATGCTGCTCTGAAAACCAGTTTCTGGAGAGAAGCCGAGTGAATTGTTTGATGATTCACGAGTTGGGTCTCCATGGCTGTGTCTGTGCGATCGGTGGATCGGGAATCTTTTCAGATAAGGCCATCGAGAGTGACTAAGCAAAGGCAAACAAATGCGTTCGAAGTTCGAACTGGTGCCCATATCTCCGATGCGATTATCTTATAGCTCTGGGTACCTCAATCCCGGGCCGGTAATAGCCGGCAAGACAGTTGGGTCAAACGAACGGCCCCTATCAGTGGGGATTGTTTACCGAGTGATAAGCCGGACTAGGGAGGAAGTTCCCCGACAGCTCCCCGTAGTCGTAGGCCCTCTAATGGGCGAGAGCAACGCACACACTTGACCTTCGGGGAGCGATAAAGAAGCTTCTTCGGCGAGTCATTGAAACCATCAATCAGCCGCAGCGGCAAGAGCAGCAGCACAGCATATGGAAAAATGCAAAAAGGGAAAAAACCTGCCGCAGCCTGGGTTCCTGCTGTGACTAACCTACGACAAGGTAGACACACAGCAACGAAAATCAGCTTACAGCGCGCCCTGGCAACAGAAACCGGAAAATTCGCCAGCCAAAACAAAGGGTTTGGCCTAGGACAGCCAGCACAAACACCTGGAAGGAAGGCAACTGCGAAAAGATCGAATCGCAGCCTGGCAGCAGCCTTTTCGTTTGCCAGAAAAGAAAACCAACCGAGCTCAGATCGGATGTGCTCACAAAAGCTAAGTTGGCCCTCACTTGAAGATAAAACAAAATATTTTAAAGATGTCATTTGATTTTATACAGAAATACGTTGTTTAACAACCGAGTGGAATGAAATAATTTTGAAGGAGAAATAAATATATTAATATTATGAAAATTGGATTGATCTAATTTTTGAGAATCTGCGTACTTCTGTTGATCGGATACCTTGATATCTTTTACATATGATAACCAGAATGGAAGTTATCATCGGCAATGTAAAGTTCATATGCCCTCCCAGTTGCATCGAAAACTGATTAGTAAATGTAGAACATAAAGCCGAACCATCTACGTTATCACAACTTGACCTACAATCCCATATTCTTTACATTTTTTGTTTTTGGGGTCGGAAATTCGTCTTATCTGCACTGTTTTTAAACAGACATCAGAAGAAAACCGAACTTCTCATAAGGTTTTCTGGGTTCTGTGAGAGTATTCGAGCTACGGTGAGTCATTAGCGCAATCCTTTCGTGTTGTCTTTTGCGAATGCACCTTTTTGAACCGCTTTTGCCAGCTTTACGAGTATGTGCCTCCACTCCTGTTTGTCGGGATTTATGTGGTAACAAAATCCGTCTGGGCCCGGGATGTGGGTTAAGCCAACGACCTGGAGCAACTGCATCGCGGCGGATTATGCATGCAGGTCCTGCCCCGCCCCCAGGAAGTCTATGAATAAATCCAGATACCATGACTGGGGGGACTACTCACCTTTAGGATCTGAGTTTTGCGAAAACTCAGCTCGTCGTCGGCCGTCGCGGAGAAATCGTGTTTGGCAATCGCTTCCATTTTGTGTTGATTATAGCTGCTGCTGTTTTGTGCGTAATACAGAACGCTTTTGGAGTTGCTTTAAATTTAGTTGTTATAGTTTCGGATTTAGTTTTATCAGCCTTGATGCACCACACACACGGACACACAGACACAGGCACTCGCAGTGCACAGCATACACGGGCAGGTTGGAATTCTCTCCTTGCTCTCCGCGCTCTCTCTCACTCACTAATGCTGTGGAAATGGAAACGAAACGAATCCGTGATTAGTTGGCGCACATATATAAACAATAAATCATGGATATTCGGCAGCGCGCTGTTCTGGTTAATAATATATTTCTCGGCCGGAGGCGAGTGAGGAAAAGCGATTAAAAATACACCGACGACTGCGACATTCCCAGGCGGAGCAGCAACAGAGAATGAGCCGCTCTCTCGCTCGCTCTCGCCTCGCTGTGCGGGTGTGCGTGCGTGTGCGAGCGTGGCAGCGTTGCCAGCAGCTTGCAATTTTTAAATTCGGGGAAAAGCAGGTACCGCAAAAGCAATTAAACGATGGCTAGCGATAGCCTGTTGTTTCACGGTCTTCTATTTTTCAAATGATCTTCAATGCCCGCCCTAGGCCATACGTTTAATTCGACAATCTAGGGCGTGGGTGCTTGCTGTTGGCAATGCCGTCGCGGTGACGTTGTTGTTTGTTTTATTTTTTGTAACCCCAATAAACACACACACTCGCACACGCGGCGCTTGTATTCATATACATATGTACAAGTTTCGGCGAATTATTTGGGGCTTTTTGCGTTCGCAAACAGGCCGCTGGGCTCACTATTTTAAGGACTGGGGGCGCTGTAAGCTTAAGCGACACTAATTAGGCGCGGGAGCGGGCGGTTTAACATATTACTACTGCTAAATTTGTAATTCACTTTTATTTTCATAGCAGCGTGGCCGTGGTTGGGTCGCTTAAATAAACCGTGGAAATACTGCTCCTAATACCAGAACAAAAAAATACCGTTCAAGGCCGCATGGTGTTTGCCGAATACTCTCGCCTGGTCACACAGGCGGTCGATTCGCTGTTTTTTTAACACTGCTTTTTGCCGTTATATTTGTTATGGTCGATAGTTATTTTCTCTTCCTCTTCGATTCAGGAGTAGCAAGCCAACATCAATGTTACCGATGTTTTGGAAACATCGATGACGATTTTAACATCGATGTTTCTCGACCACTACATCGCCATTTTTAAATACAAAATAGGACGCTTCACCGGAAAACTCAGCACTACGATTTGATTCCAACAGGACACCTCACTTCGCCTCGCCATAATCGTCGCAATGCAGCGCCACAAGGAACTGTACAAGGAGCAATCGCTGGTGCTGAGCCCGCGTAACCACTGCCAGGAGAACCGGGATCGGCTTCAAGCGGCGCGCGCCAAAAAGCGGGAGGACTGCTTTTACCAGAACCGCATCATCAGTGTGAGTCCCACCCCCGTCAAAGCGAAGCCATCTGTGGCGGCGCAAGGGGCTCTGCCCCAGGAGAATGTGGTCCCTAACCTGCAGGGTCAGCAGCAGCCGGAGCTGGAAAAGAAGGAGCCCTTGGAGCAGCCACCGCAACCCACCGCAAAACCCACCCGCCAGTCAGTATTCCTTAAGCGCTACACGGAATGGAAGAACGCCAGGAACAAGGAGCACAAACACCGGGATCAGACGCGTCGTGGGGCAGCTATTAAAGCGCCGCCTGTCAATCAATTAAAGACGTTTCCCAAGTCTGAAACATTTCGGGTTCCCGAGAACCTGGCTACTACCAAGCAGAAGGAGGCAGTGTCTGTGCTCCAGCCGACCAAGCGTTGTTCGCTCTACGTTATTGCCAATCCCATTAGCAAAATCAAAGGTAAGGCATCCGAAGCCACCAATCCATCAAAGGCGGCTTCTTCGGTAATCAAGCCAACGCCTGCAGCTCTTCTTGATGCCAAGACAGCGCCTGCTGCACCCCCTTTAAAGAAACCAGCTGCGCCATCATCCAAACATGAGACTGCTGCTCCTGCAATAAAACCAGTGACTGTCGCTTTGGCGAGGCAAAAAGCAGCTTCCGCTACAAAACCAACCCGTCAGACCACCAATCCGGTGGCTTTGGCCAGGCAGAAAGCAGCTGCGCGACCCGCTCCCACTGCCACTAGCAATACCAGAGAAAGGATTCCAGCCACTGAAGGCAAAAAGGTTTCTGCCATGCCCATATCCTCGGCCGTAACACTCAACAAAGGGAAAACGGACACCGTGCGGCAACAACCGTCAGGAATTAGCTTGAAACCAAGAGTGCCTGCGTCTACGGTGCCAAGAGTAGCTAGACTGGCAAATGTGATGTCTCAGCCGTTCGAGAAACCTTCGGGAGGCAAAGCCCCAGTTAAAGGACGGGCGAACGTGGTGAAGCCGCAATCCATTCGTGGCGGAGGTGGGGCCGTTGGAAAATTTAAGGACTCAGCTGGAGTTACCAGCAAAACTGTTGGTAATTCCATGCGAATGAAGCCCACCAAACAAAAGAACCAATACACGAAGCTGCAGGACAACGTGAGAAAGCTTCCTCAGCTCAAGGCCGAGTTGCTGCAGGCAGCCTTACTAGACATACCGCCTCTCACGCCGCTGGAGGAGATCCCCTTCCTCGACCAGGCCACATCCACGCAGTGTAGGTCCAACAAAAGCAGCGGCAGTCTTCTCGAGGCTTTTGGCGACAACATCTTGCTAAGCCCAGTGGCACCGGCCAAGAGTGAGGAGGATAGTACAGTCAAAAGGCAATTGCTGGCGGCGGATAAGGCAGAGCTGCCAGTTCCGGTGGCAAAGAAAAAATTCGACTTTTCGCGTTACTCTGTGGCTAACTCGCCGGCGGAGGACTCTCTGATCTTGGATCCACAGCAGTCGACCCGTGAGTACATATGCATTCCTTCGCCAAACGAAGTCTAACATTTTCTTCCAGTTAAAGAAGCTGGTGGAAACTCTACTTTGGTTCCTGAAGTGGAAAAGACACCGCCACGCCGTGAGTCCAACGGAATGCCAAACTATCTTAGCCCGTTTGTGAGCGTCTCCCGCGGGAAGGTGAACTCGCGCTGCGAAAAGGAGAAGCGGAACAGTTTCTACCTGCCCGACGAGGAGTCGCCGTTGGAAGTTCGCCGTGCCATCGAGTCCGTTCTGTACTTTAGGCTACAGCTGGAGAATGAGATCGCGCGGCTCCAAGCCCTTTGCGAGGAATGGGATGCGTACAGTAAGGAGAACGAGGCACGCTTGCAGGAAACGGGCGGCATTGACATGATCAACGTGACCATTGGCCAGACGCGCCTGTTGACCACCAAAAAGATGATGCAGTTTAGCGGCCTGATTGATCGCTGCGAGGCCGGCGCCACGGGCAAGAACCGCCAGCCAACCGATGGTAGCGAGGACACAAAGCCGGTGCAGGCGGAGGATCTGGAGGGCTGGTGGGACATGTTGCGCCTGCAGAGCGAGAACGTGGACAAGCGTTTTGAGAACCTGAAGCGATGGAAAGCCAACGACTGGCTGGATCCGGATGCAGTGGCTGAGGAACCCATCCAGCCAAAGCCGAAGCCCAAGATTAATCGCAACATGAAGGTCAAGACAAAGGCCAAGCCCTCTAGCAATCTGAAACAGTTTCTACGCAAAGCCCATGCCAACTTGAAGAAGACAAAGGTGGAGGAGCCGCCGATGGAAGATGGTGCTCCCTCGACGTCCTCGCGGGTCAGCTCGCCACGGGTAATTGTGGTTCGTAATCGCAGGTCCTTTTCGCCTGCTCGCACTGTTCTCCGTATGTCCAGTGGTGATGGACGTCAATCCATCGCGCCCAATGCGCTTCTGAAATCAGCGATTCTTGCGGCCGCCGAGCAGAATGCTACCCAGACACCGCCACCGAAACCGCGAACGTCCATTCTCAAAACGCCGGGCACCATCAAACGCCAGAGCCGAGCCGTACTCTTCAGCGCCAAGAAGAGCGTACGTCGTTTCCAGTTCACCTACGAGGAGGGCAACCTCAGCAACGACGAGACGGTGGGAGCCGACAAGCTGGAAGACTGCGAGGAGGATATGTCGCTGGAGGCGTCCTCGGAGCGTCGATCCATGGAGCAGGATCCAGGAGCTGATCAAGCCAATGGGCAAACCCCTCGGACTTATACTCTGCGCAACCGGCGAGTGAATCTGCGTCCTTCGTCGGAGTTCATGTAATGATTGGTTTATGTATAGAATTGTTTATAGTTGTATTCCTTAGTTTAATGTTATTACGGAGAGCCATTAAGTGTTAATTGTTTAAGATGTTAAAATGTATCTTTGGCATTTTGAATATTCGATGTTTATGTTTTGTGAAAATTGAATTATCTCAGTTCTGAAAAATTATCTAAAATATCTTGATATATGTAGTTTACACAATAAAAAGAATAAATAACGAAACAAATATTTTTGTTTTAGAGAACACCAATCTGATTTACCAACTGAAGATTATTTTTATAAATAAAAATTAGGCAAGGGTGTTGTTTTTGAAAATCGCTGAATTTGTATTCATTACATTTTTGAGAGAAGGAATTCTGTTTGGAAGTAATTGTTCAAAAATTTCTCAAATTCCTTTTTCACATATTTTAAAAACTCAAGAAATGGCGGGTCAAGTCCTTACTTAAGCGTTATTTAAGTCATTCACCATAAGAGTATGTAGTTTGTTTAAGTTATTTTTCAGTATTAATTTAAAGTATCTTGGTATATTTGTGCCTGTACCGCGGTATACTTTAACGGTTACGCTACGGTCCCACCCTGATTCATAAATGTAAAGGAAGTAAACTCGACGGCAATTTAAATTTAATTTTGAATTTGACGTCGCGATTTGATTGTAAATACGCAGATAAGGCCGCCCAATGAAAGTGCAAATAGCAGTGGTATCGCGACGTCCATCGCAGTGACTATTATCTCGACCGTTTCGTTCGCCCGCGACGCCCTTTGAGTTCAACGCATTCATATTTCCAAGTGCAGATTTTCTTTTTGTTTTGCCCGCAGTGACCGCGCGCTGCAATCAAAGCAGGGGCAAGTATACATATCCCGATCCGCTCCACCACAGGATACGGAACAAGGACCAGATATGGACACCAGTGGCGGCAATTTAGGTAAGACCTGGACAATTCGTATTTCAAATTGAATTTTCAACCTCTGGTACAGCGTGTACTTGCCATGGCAGTTGGCCGTTCGCTGGCGCGCAAATGGTTTCCGCTCGTTTGTGGTTGCCTTATGCTTATTTACCTGTCTGCCCAGCAACCGTCAAGCGGATTTACGTATTCTTGTTGCCTTTCTATTTGCGTATCTTTGAAAATCGCCCGGAATGTTGACTTTTTGTAAGTTTTTTGCACTCTGCTGACGAAACGAAAAGTGCTTTTAACGATCTGGGAACATCCCATTGAGCAGCGTTGCCAGATGGTTTGTTACACATATAGACATGTGCTTGGTTGTGTTGGTGTTTTTGTGGGGTACAGTCTTGGGGGGCAATTGTTGTTTGGCAATGAAATGTGCAAAAAATACAATTGAAGCATTGTCAGCCCCCTAACTTAGTCAGGGAGTTGTAAACATATCTTTTGAAGATTATTAACTTTGGTGGACTGGTGAGGTGGGTGTTAATTGGGTGGCAGAAAACGCGCACAAAATAATAACGTCAACGCGGGCTGCCACCCCTTTCAAAGTGCTTATGCAAAATGGGCTGACTACAAAAATTAGATATTATTTTTCAATAACTAATAAGAATGGTTCGCTAGATGTTTTTAAAGCAGTTTAAGGAAATATTTAAATGTAAAAAATACTTTTGGTTCAAAATAAGATAATTGTTATCGATATCGATGTGCTGCCCATCGAAAAACTACCACGAAGTGGCAGCTCTGCCGTACAGCACATTTCAGGGTTTACGCAATTTCTCGAGCCCCAAGATTTTCCTCGACCTGTGAAAAGGCCTTTTACCCCCTGCCAGGACAGCAAAATCTACACCTGTAAGTGCCCCTGGGCTTAGATTTACTATAGAGTCCATCCTAACCCAAGTCTCCAGTTAAAAGCAAAGAGGAAGCCCAGAATCATGTCACACGCATTTGCCGCCGTCGTCTGCCGGTCCACCGCATCCATGTCTTTGGCCCTGCGCTGCAGTCGGCGAGCCATGAGCTCCACGAGAATGCTGCGCCTGGCGGGTGCCACTGCCTCCTCCACTGCCTGCAAGGATTGGCAGCGAAACGGACTACTATCTGCCGCCAGGACCGGCAACGTGCAGCAGTACCTCCGCCAGTATGCCAACGAGAAGAAGGTTTTCGAGCGAACCAAGCCCCACTGCAATGTGGGCACCATCGGCCATGTGGATCACGGCAAGACCACACTGACGGCGGCCATCACTAAGGTGCTGGCCGACAAGCAGCTGGCCGAGAGCAAGAAGTACAACGAGATCGACAATGCTCCCGAGGAGAAGGCTCGCGGCATCACCATCAATGTGGCCCACGTGGAGTACCAGACGGAGACCCGGCACTACGGCCACACGGATTGTCCCGGACACGCGGATTACATCAAAAACATGATCACCGGCACCGCCCAGATGGATGGCGCCATTCTCGTGGTGGCCGCCACCGACGGCGCCATGCCCCAGACTCGCGAGCACATGCTGCTTGCTAAGCAGATCGGCATCGATCACATTGTGGTGTTTATCAACAAGGTGGACGCCGCTGATCAAGAGATGGTCGATCTGGTGGAGATGGAGATCCGGGAGCTGCTCACCGAGATGGGCTACGATGGCGACAAGATTCCCGTGGTGAAGGGCTCGGCGCTGTGCGCTTTGGAGGACAAGAGCCCCGAGATTGGCAAGGAGGCGATCCTCAAGCTGCTGCAGGAGGTGGATAGCTTTATCCCCACGCCAGTGCGTGAGCTGGACAAACCGTTCCTGCTGCCCGTGGAGAATGTTTATTCAATTCCCGGACGCGGCACCGTCGTCACTGGGCGCCTGGAGCGTGGAGTGGTTAAGAAGGGCATGGAGTGCGAGTTCGTGGGCTACAACAAGGTGCTCAAGTCGACGGTGACGGGCGTTGAGATGTTCCACCAGATTCTGGAGGAGGCCCAGGCCGGCGATCAGCTGGGAGCGCTTGTACGAGGCGTTAAGCGGGATGACATTAAGCGTGGCATGGTCATGTGCAAGCCAGGCAGTGTGAAGGCTCTCGACCAGCTGGAAGCCCAGGTGTACATCTTGTCCAAGGAAGAGGGCGGCCGGACTAAGCCTTTTATGTCCTTCATCCAACTGCAGATGTTCTCGCGCACCTGGGATTGCGCCGTCCAGGTGCAGATCCCTGACAAGGAGATGGTCATGCCCGGCGAGGACACCAAGCTTATCCTGCGCCTCATCCGCCCCATGGTCCTGGAGCAGGGACAGCGCTTTACGTTGCGCGACGGAAATTTGACGCTGGGCACCGGCGTCGTCACCAACACCATGCCCGCTTTGACTGAATCGCAGCGAAACGAGCTGACGGAGGGCAAGAAGGCGCGCGAGAAGAAGGTGGCGGCCAAGAAGTAGAGCTCCGGAACGCCGTCAGTCATTAACTAAAATCATATTCTTAAGCGATTTTTATGCATATTGTATAAGTTGTTGGCGCTCCAATCAGAATCGAGTAAAATAAAAACAAACCCTTAAAATGAGATTGTAATCAAGATTATCAGGGAGAATCCTTTTAGATTTTGTAGGATTTAGTCTTGGGCCAAGAAAAGTCAGGTTTTTTTTTAAGTTTTAACAATTTATTTTTCTAAAATTTTTTGTGAATCATAGTTACTAATATATTATTTATTTTACTAAAATTTTGTTTAGAGAAAAATTCAATGGATTTTTAAATACTCCTTAGACATATTCCATTATTGTTAAAATCCCTTTCAATTGAAAAGTTTGATCAGAGGTATTAGGTAAGCATTTAAAAACTCATCTGCATTTTAAATTCAGGCGCCCGACTTCAATGGTATCGGTAAAAGAAATCTATGACATCGAAATATATACTGTTCCGAAAGACCGATAGATAGCCGATAAACCAAAACCGATTAAAGACGACCAAGTCATTATACAACACTGCTGCAACCGCCTTGAGCGCAGCTGATGATAAAGAACATTTTGAAATTGAATTGAAAATTGACAAAAATGAACACTTACCGCGTAGACTACTTGTCGGGTATATTTAAGCACCACGAACTCTAAATCGCAATGTGAATAATACTAGTTTCTGTCCGCAGATTCCCTGGACGACACGGAACCGTTGCCGGAGCTGAGTTTTGAAGACTTTTTGGAGCCAACGTCGGACAAGAGCTCCCAACACATGGAAATCGATGCCCTGGACACGGATGACGACGACGTCGACGCTGATGAGTTGGCCGATCCTGCCAACGATTCCCTGAACACGCCACAGTTCAAGAGGAACGTGGTGCACATAGTGGAGGACAAACGGTTGCCCCCGGCCGGAGTAACCGTCTTGAAGTCGCACGCCATCAAAGTGGTGACTGCCGGAGGCCCCTCGCCGGTCAAGTCGCAAATCCCGGACGTCAAAATCTTAAACAAACTAAAACCGATACCCAGCAATACCGTTAAGATCGGCAGCACCACCATCGCCACTACGTCCACGCCACGCACCATCACCAAGACCCTGAGCAATATGACCCAGATCAAGACGAAAGATGGTCAGGTAATCTTCGTCCAGAAGTCTGTACCTGGAACACAAAGCAGTGTCACGGTGGCCGGGTCACCGAGCGGTGGAATACGACGCGTCGTTGCGCCGTCCAGTATCCAAAAGGCGGTCCTCTCCAAGGGAGTGACCTTGGCAAGCACGGGTCTGGTCAAGGCGGCTGTGCCGGGAAAAGCAGGCCCCTCCACAACAGCCATCACCATAAAAGGCATTACACCGCTGGCCGGAGGCAGTGCCAAGGTAGGGTCTTCCGGCACCTCTTCCAACACATCTACGCCCTTAGCACAGCCCACCAAAATCCATGTGATGCGCACTACCGACGGCAAGATCATTAAGATTAATCAGACTGGTTCCTCGTTGCTGCTGAATACTAAACAGCCAGGAACTACGGGCTCCTCGGGAAGTTCAGCCGTCAGTACTGTCAAACTATCGCCCTCCTCGGGAAATGTGGTGCTAAGCAAACCCGTGGGCCAAGTAGTGGTCAAGACAGCAGCTCCTGCAAAGCAAGTTTCGACCACGACGGGCTCCATTTCCAGTACGACCACAAACGCAACACCCGGCAAGATGTTGGTTCAAAGTGGTGGCAAACAGATCCTTGTGCCCAGCAAGAACATAATCAAGCTTTCACCGAATGCGGGGGCCACCAGTTCTTTGACCAACACGGCTGCAGAACAAACAGCTTCTCCCACGAGCGGATTGCATGCTATCCAGCTCCCTGGCAAGGGAGGTGTACAATATGTTCGCGTGCTGACCAACAACAAGAGTGCCTCCGGAACGAGTGCAACAGTGGCTATGCCTAAGACCATGCAAGCCCATAAGATTACTGCGGTGCGGTCTCCGGCTGCTACTAGCACACCTGCCACATCTACTTCGACATCGGCAGCAGCTGCTCCTGCAACAGCAGCGCCAAAGGCAAACACTTCAATGGGAAGCACAAACAAGATTGTAATGCGGACAACAGGCGGGAGCATTGTGCCCTTGCCCTCTATGCAGACTTTGGTCTCCAAGGTGGGTATTGTAGTACTTATGCCGTTCTCGGACTCTCTTAACTCTATTGTCCTCTTTGCAGCGAGCAATGGGTACCAACACGGGCGCCAACACCAACGCCTCCAAGTCAGCCAGTACGGTCAACAGTACCAGTAGCAGTAGTCCTAGTGGCAGCCAGGAGTCGCCTCGCAAACACCGGCTTACTGATCTCAACGTGCAGATCAAGCATTTGACCTCCGCCAGCAGTGATGGCAGCGACAGTAGCGACACGGGACCAGAGGCGAAGAAGCCGCGCTACGTGATCACCATGCAGCAAGGATCACAACAGACTTCGCAGCCAGCTCAAAAGCTTATCAGTCGGCCAACGAACGTGCAACGTGTGGTGGCTAGCAACACCAGTCCCAACGCCCCAAAGAAAATCTACAACTTTGTCAAATCGACGGGAACCAACGGGGTCAAGTACATGATCTGTAACTCGGGTGTACCCCAATCATCGACCAGTGCTATGCGACGGGGCTACACCGGCTATGTGGACAACAAGCTGCGGAGAACGCTCTCCGTTTCCTCGCAGCAACATCGCTTCAAGCAGATGAGTCCCCAGCAGCAGACAAAGCACCTGCAACTTCAGGCGCAGGCCAAGCAAAGGATAAGACAGCAACAGCTGCAGACTCAACACCAATCGGTGTCAATCAGGGTGGAACCGAAGCTTCCAACACAGACTTCAATTCAGAAGCAAACTGTTCCCGCCAAACCGCTTTTTGACATCCTGAAGCCTCCGGCAACAGGAGCTGCAGGCGCCACCGATGCGGTGGGTATGACTTCGCGACGGAAGCACTGCAACTGCAGCAAGTCGCAGTGTTTGAAGCTCTATTGCGACTGCTTTGCCAACGGCGAGTTTTGCCAGGATTGCACCTGCAAGGATTGCTTTAACAATCTGGACTACGAAGTTGAGCGGGAGCGAGCCATCCGGAGTTGCCTTGATAGAAATCCAAGCGCCTTTAAGTAAGTTTATTTTGGGGGAACCTTAGTTCCCAACCACAGTCCTTGAGTGACATCTTTGGCGTTTGGAAAATATTTTGTCTTGTATTATTTTGTCTTAACCCATTCTTTACTTTCTGAACAGACCCAAAATTACGGCCCCCAATTCAGGTGACATGCGTCTGCATAACAAAGGTTGTAATTGCAAAAGATCGGGCTGTCTCAAAAACTATTGCGAATGCTATGAGGCAAAGATTCCCTGCACCAGTATATGTAAATGCGTGGGTACGTATAACATAAAAACGGACATAAACTTGATCGAACTGACTTAAATCCAAATTATGCAGGTTGTCGAAACATGGAGGACCGTCCGGATGTGGATATGGACTCGTTGGACGGCTTAATAGGAACCAAGGGTTCAAAAAAGGACAAAGCGAATGACAAGCACTCGCACGAAAACCGCGCAAACATGTACTTTACAGACGACGTCATCGAGGCGACCATCATGTGCATGATATCGCGAATTGTGATGCACGAGAAACAGAATATGCCGGTCGAGGACACGGAGCGCGAAGTGATGGAGGAACTGGGCGAAAGCCTTAACCAAATCATCACCTTTGCAAAGGAAAAGCATGATACTTCTCAGCTAGATGAGTCCAAGGCAACTTCTTAGGGCTGCAAATTTAGTCACACATGAATTAGTTTTTAAGTTCAAAGCGTTCTTGACCTTTTTCTTCACTCAATTATATTTTTGGCTTTCTAAAAGTTGACCTTAAAGTAAAGTGTACCATTTTTAAATGATCTAAACACAAAATGTATATACCATACATAGCAAATTACTGATTTAAGACGGTTTTATTTTGAACCGACAATGGCTCGCGCTTTTTAACTTTAACTGATTGTGTTATAAACTTCCTTGAATTGAATGTATATAATATAGAGACTCAATAAAGTTAAATGTCCCTTAAACACCAATTAAAAGACGGGTAATGTTTTGTAGCTTGTTTATTCACCAACAACTTCAGTTACATATTTGTATTTCGCATTTGCCTTGTTTCAAATTTATATGATGGACGAGTATATTAAACTCAACGCAATTTCGTTTGGTTTTCCGATATCGGTATCAGCTTAGTTAGCAATATCTCTATGAAATAAACATATGTCAAATGACTAGTGTATAGGTTATACATATTTTAGTTGAGTGTATAGATAGTTGGTATTTTAGGTTCGTATATAATTTTATTTAGTATAGTTATATATTCTACTTGGTCATCGTTATTTATAAATAGTATATATGCATTTTTTGTTCCGATTTCTCCCGGTTCTCACCCTATAAACATGGCATGGCATGACATGAGTACACATAGCTTCAAGGTTTGAGTAAAAATGTGATAATCGTTACAGAACTATAGTACATATATTTAGTAGCTAATATATGCCCTGGTATCCATATTAAATACTCTGTTTTATTTTGACTAATATGCTCGCGCTAAACTATAGGTTTTGTTTGCGGTCTTTCGAATACGAACTTTTGAGAGAGAGTATGTGTGTGCGATTATCTAAGTTAGCAAATACATACAGTAAACGTTAAGTATATCGAGTTAGGCATAGTTTTGAATATTTTAATACTGTGCACAAAACGCTTTGGTTAGTTGTTTTAGCATTGTTGTTTGTTTGACCCCATACCAGCTTTTTTTGGACTGTTAATATCATAACACTTATGCAACATTTGAACATAGCTAGGCAACAATAACGACTTGATTACGAATAATATGGTTGAGTATTGAGTATGCTGCACTATTCAGTTAGAAGCTATATTGTCTAATTCACACGTTTATATTGAATGCTGTGCCCCCGGAAGGGGGGTTGAAGCATAAACTTACACAACAACTTTATGAAAACCGAACAAAACCTTTGTTAAATATCATATGTACTTTGGAGTTGCATACCCTGTACAATGTCTTGTACTACATATGTATGCTGCTATAATATGCAATTTTTGAAGAGTCCCTTAGTTATAAAACGCGTGTTGCATGATTGAATTCGGCAATTCTTCAAAGCGTGAAAAGTTATAACGAACACAACGTAGAATCTCTCGTGTGCTATGAATGTATCTAGATATTTATTTGAGTAGTTCAATTTTCACAACAATAGAACAACGATGATAATCAGCAAGTATTTCAGCTATTCTTATATACAGTTTGTCAATATAACCTCATTGTATACCTGCGATTAACTACATTTTGTTGGCCTTCATGTGCCTTTTTCGACCATTACAGAGTTATCTTCCTTTACAGTACTTTTGATTAGGATTGTGTAGGGTAAACGCGTCCAAAATAATGACTCATAGACCCAACAAAGGGAACTTGTGCTTTAAAGAGGATTTTACATGATATATCCGATCACAACGCTTAAAGACACTTGCAGCCATTCAAGTGCCTTGCGGCAATATCCTTACGATAAAAGTTGATCTGATTAAGTAGGGGAACAAAGTCGGTAATACTTATGAGGAAAAGCCCTAAAATTTGGGTGGGAAGAGCTAAAAATGAGAAGTCATTTTAGTTGTATTTAAAAATTGTAAAATACTCAATTTAGCGATTTAATTCCCCACTAGAAAATTGAAAACATAAAATGCCACAAAATAATTATTTCCAAAATTGTGAACGCGTATAATCCCACTATAAATATTTAGGTTATATGGAATGGTATTCATATTCCGCGTACAACTCGGTACCAAAATTTTATCAATTATTCCCTTATTTTGTCAGATAACTTGTGTGTGTGCTACGTGGGCAACAATTTTACAAGATTTTTGGTAATATAGTTACTTTAATTTAACATTAACAACTTGAAATATGAAATTGATTTACTTAAGGAAGGTGGGTCTCCGTTGTGGAGTAATGCCCTTTAATACCGACCAATTGCTACGCCGTATTGCCAAAAAGTTTTAATGGGATTCAGGAGCGAACGATAAATAGACAGAACCGAGAACCAAAGTTGCCTGGGTTTTCGGTTCTAGCCCATGAAAAATTCCCATTTTGACTCGTTTGAATATTTTGTAAAAAAAAATCAATTTCTATGATTGGCACGCTATTTCCAAACTCACAATCTCTTTGGCCCCACGTTCTTGGAAAGCCCAAAATTATCTGCCCTAAATGAAACGTATTTTGTGTGAGTTGCTGTTCGAGAACTAAACACTGTCAAAACTAATTCCCAAGCCTTCTTTTGTGACAGATCCATCGCGTCGCCAGGCGGGCGATGTCTTCCATGGGGACCCATTCAAAATTCAGTCGTACAACTTTCGCTATGCCGACAAACCGTTTTATCCGGCCCAGAATTATCAAAGGCCGACTGCGCCGCCCCTGGTGAAGAAGCCCTCCTTCCAGACCTTCTATTATAATCCCAGGTTCAGCCACGATCCCGAGTACATTCCCGCCACAAGGCGGCCACCCACCAGTTCCTTCAGTGAGCACCGGAGACGTCAACCACTGCGGGACTCCAAGACTATGCCCTCGGCACCTTTGGTGGCTCCGCCGGAGAGGCAGAGTGTGCCGGTGGCCCCGCAGACGAGACGATCACCCACTGTCACGGATTCCCCGCCCCTGAGGAGCTGCTGTCAAAGAGGGGAGTACCAGGCAATGAGACGGGGTGGGAGCACCATGACCCTGAATACCAGTAGCATAAATGTCCAGCGATCCACTGGGGGAGGGGTCCAACGTGCCTCAACCACCACCTTCTCCAGTGGTTCCAACACCCAGCTGCAGACGAAGAGAAGCGGCTGCGAGATTAGCATAAACATCTGCAGTGTGGATCCGCAATCCGAGGTGGACAACAATGTGAGCATAAAGATCGAGGCGGATGCCTACCTGCTGAACAATACGGACAAGGTGAAGTCCAAGTCGCAGCAGGAGCGGAGTTCTCCCAGATCTTCTGGTACCTTTGGCATCGACAAACGACTGTCCAAGTTCAATGTGAGCGAGACTAGGCCAAGGACCAGCCCGGAATGGGATCTCCGGCAACGGGAGAAGGCCAGGGAAGCGGAGCGACAGAGAGAGCGGGAGCGAGACCGTCAGCTTCTGGAGGACCTAAGGTTGGAGCGGGAAAGAGAGCTCAAGGAGGATCGGGAACGTGCCCGTCAGCGGGAGCGAGATCGCGAGCAGCTCCGCCAGTTGGAGCGCATGCGGGATGAGGAGCGTCTTCTGGAGCTGGAGGTGGAACGCGAGAATCATCGTTTGCGGGAGCTGGAGCGCGAAACGCAGCGGCACAGGGAATACAATCGGTTTTGTGCCCTCCAGGAGGAATCGCGTCGCCAACGGATGGAGCAACTGCGTCTGGAGCCTGATAATTCCCGACCGCCGGTTCCAATGACCTCGCATTTGTACACTGTTACCTCCGACGACCGGTTACCCGGAATGGCCTTCTGCGACTTATCCTCCCGAAGACCTCAGCGTATGCAGACCTCCAGGGATCTGCCCAGGCCAAAGGAAAGACGCACAGCTCGGGCTAATCAGGACGCAAGAACCGTACGATCCGCAACTCGGTCGCTAACTCCCCCTCCTATCTTTAATCGGAATTCCAGCTCCCGTTCCCCTACACCTCCCCGAGCTCCCACCTCCCGTTCCTCTACCCCAAACAGGAGTGATAATCTCTCCTCTAGCCGAAGTCCTACCCCAATTCGTAGCCACCAGGGGAGCACCGCTCCCACCATCCCAAGACGTCTGGATCGCAGTAGTTCGGGCACTTCTAATGGCAATGTCCATGTCACGGTGACCACCAGTGGAGGGCGGAGCAGCTGTAGCATGAGGCACTCATCCAATGCCCGGGTGAATGAGCCCAAGGAGCTCAATAGAAGCCATCCCTTCGTCACCACTCTGAACAACATGCCCATTAGGATTACTACTTCAAGAACTGCGGATAGGGATCTAGCCTTCAGCCTGAACCATGTGAGGATGAGGGGATCTTCACCAACGCCTAGAGAAAGGAGAAGCAGTTCAGAGGAACAGGATGCCTGTCAGGTCAACATCAACGTGTATTCGGAGAAGCTGCGTTTGATGCGTATATGAGAAAGGAAAATGGGGGATTGTATAAGTGACTTCTGGGATAGATCATTTTAAGAAAACAGATGATATCTGTCCCAGAAGTCACCCATGCACTCCCTTAATTTCTTTTCAATAGAAAGTATGTGAGATTAGTTGGTTTCATCGCAGGTGTTTGACTTTTAAATGTTCCTAACCCAACAAAATCCGAAAAGTGTATTCCAAATTAAACAGTAAGGTGTGGCATTTTCAACATATATCGCGCTCCTTTGGATTCCCCATTAAATCAATGCAATTGCGGGCGCCTGCTTATTGAATCGGCAATTAACCTTCCTTGCTGGGAGTAGAGTCTTTCAAGGAAAGACTCTTACAAGCTCATTAAGCTCTTCGTACACCTACATCTGCTGTTTTCGATGCGTCAATTGTACTACCAAAAAAAGATAGTTTCCAAACCTTTGGCCACTAAATTGCCTCCAATATGTAGTAGGGTTCTTAGGATACTTATTTTCTTTTTCCTACTCAAAACAATCTCTTACCCGTCACATCGAACATCCAGCTCATCGCAGAGCCTATTTTCACTCAACCTTCTCTTTCGTCTATATTACTATTTGTGATATTTGAGAGTTTGACTTTAACGTGTGCCAAACTTTTGGGGGAGGTAACTTATGGATGTGATCATTGGTATATATATAAATACTATAGTGCAACTTGTGTAAAACATTGAACAAGAATAACGATTTCATTTGAAAATTCATATGATATTTCTGATATTGTTGGTTGTGGTTATGGTTACTTTGTGTCCCTTTGATCTTTTTTTTAGATTTTATTACCGTTCTTTTTTTTTGGGATTTTTGGTTGCACTTTTGGCAACATTGCGTTGGAGTTAAATCGTTTGCTTATTCGTCTTCTTCGTAGTTCTGATAGGTGACGTAACGTACCTGGGCCCGATCGCGACCATAGATCAAAGACTGGAATCACAGGGAAATTGAAAAAAATACGGGTTAGTCAAGTATTATTCTTAAATGTATGCAAAACATGCAAAATGAAACTCAGGCTTTAAATAAAAACTAAACATTTTTATTACAAACAAATTAAGCAGAACTTAAGGCTAGAAACTATGGGAAATTACTAATAATACGAAAAATTAACAACTTAATGCCGACTAAAGCTAAGCCATTGTATAGACACTCAAAGCCTCTCGCTCTCGTAGGCCTCATTTGTCCTGCCCGCCTCGGGATTCGGGTCGGGAATGGAGGTACCATGCATGATGGCAGGGCAGGATGCGGTCAGCTGGGGGATTCCAGAGGATTCCCCTGAAGCGGCAGCCGCGGCGGCGGCAGCTTCAGCCGCCTCCCTGGCCATACGTACCTTCTTCTCGTCGCTCGTCGGCGGATTCTTCAGCAGCGTCAGCAGGGGGGCGTACATGAAGCACAGGATGGCGATTCCAAACAGCATCCACTTGAATCCGATGCTCTTCACCAGCGATCCGGACAACGCGGGTCCCACGGCGAAGCCCACGCAGAAGGCCACATCGCCCAGGGCGTAAACACTGCCGTACACGGCGGAGTGCCGGATGTCCACCAGGTAGCCCAGCTCCGGCATCATCGAGGAGTCCACCATTCCGATGGCGAAGCCCAGGCCGGCGTTTGGTATAATCAGGTGGGTGATCGAGGTGGCCATAGGTATCTGAAAACAGGTAAGACAAAATTGACAACTTATTTTAGCGTTGTCCAAAACGATGTAACGCGAATTCTTTAGCATTTTTAAGTAATTCAACACTATTTATAATCTCTTATATTTAGTAAGTTTGAAAGCCCTCGAGCTTTTTTTAAGTATTAATGAAATTGGTTTGTCCACTTACGAAAATCAAGCATCCTCCGATGATGATCAGGCCCAAGCAGGCGGCGAACCAACGTCCAATTTTGTGTCCCAGCGGTCCGAAGAGATTGGTGCCAATTAGGTAGCTAATGGAGGCCGGCAGGAATGCCACGCCCTGCTCCCAGCGGGTGGCGCCCATGTTGTCCACCATCCAAAGCGGCAGCGAGGGCTCCAGCATGGCGATTCCCATGTTGGCGAAAGTGATAGCACCAGCGGCAATCAGGATGTAGGGATCGCTGATGAGGCTCTTCAGCGAGGGTGGTTCCGTTTCGGCCTTCTGGATCGAGGGTTGCAGCATGAACAACTGCAGCAGGCCATCGCCCAGGGCCAGAGCAGCCAGGATCAGGAACGGAGCCGACTTGCCCACGAACTCGTACATCACCCCGCCAAAGGGAGGACCTATAAGCACCCCCAAGGCCAGACCGCCCAACGCTATACCCATGGCATTTCCACGCTCCTTGTCGTCCGTGAACCGATCAGCCAGCATACCCATTCCAGAAACCGAGGAGCAAGATGATCCAATGCCCTGCAGTGCCCTCGCCACAAACAGAACCAGGTAAGAGCGGCCAAAGGCGAAAACTAAACAAATAGAATGGATCAACGCCAATTGCTAGGGGAGAGTACTCATAGGAACTTACTGATGGTTGATAGAAACATTATCACGAAGCCCGCGAACATGGGAATGCTGTAGCCAATGCTGAACAAGGATAAATGTATTAAAGAAAATAAATTGTTATTTTTTAGAACTTAACTTTTTTTATTTAAATGGAAAAGTTTAAAATTAAAATTTTCAATAAAAAAAGAGCTCTATATGAATCACAACTGTGATCTGACTAAGAAATATGAACACGAATCTCTTCTGTCAGGGGGACAGAAATTTTATATATTCTTCTCTGAAGAATTCGCGGTTGCTATTTTGAATTTTTTTTACGTTGCACCATATATGTATTAAAATCAACAAAAATCAAAAATTGGGCATCGCAAAATTCCTAGAAAACAATATTTTATTGTAGGTAAATCCGCTTTAGTATGCATCTTTAGGGATCAAAATAAATGTAAATTTAAATATTTTTGAGGAAATGTAGTTCCTGTTTGTGGGGCAGGCCTATTTTGCATTCTCGACCTTTGAACTTACCGGTGAGTTAGGGGTCCTACAATTGGGTTAACCAGCAGCTGGACAAACGCCTTGGAGGCGAACAGGAGACCCACCTCGACGGTCTCGCCCACCAGCTCGTTGTGGCGTTCCAGCTCCCGGTAGTAGGTCTCGTTCTCTGTGGGTTGTCAAGGACTTGGGCTGCAGACTGGTGGCCAATTAGCGGGCGGGACTCACTTACCCTCCGGACTAATCGTGGTGATCTCGGGCGGGGCCGCCTCGCTGCCATCCTTGTTGCAGGGGCACGGCGTCGGGAGCGGTGGCACAATGGAGGACAGCGGGGTGCGAGGAAAGCTGTCGAGCGGCGCATCAGGATGTCGTATGTCGTACAGGAACTCGGGTATGATGGGCACTAAACGAAGGAAGGGGGTTATAATTTGATTGAAACAAAAAGAGTTTGCTCACAATTAACCTAAACGCTCTTGGGCCTTGGGGCAATTTTCACCAGGCCGCCGCTTGGTAATTGCGTTCTCCAGGCCCCAGAAAGTTTTGTAATTGCCTTGCCGCTGGCAGAGATTGCCACCTCCCCCTCCGGCAATTCTAATTGAGTTGCAACCCAAGGAGAGGAGGTTGCGAGGAAAATTACGCATACGCCGCGTTTGCAACGATGCTTTTAATGGACTCTCCGATGTCTAGCGGAAAGCCACATGCAACTTGGCCCGAAACCTCCTCCGCCGGGCAAATTCAATTTGTTTATTGCATGCTTCGACTCTGTTTATATTTATTATCAACACCCGGAGAACTCGAGAACTCCGGCCACTGTAATTGCATTTCCTGCCAAAGTGCTAGGCCGGGTCAGAGGTCGGCCCTTCAGGTGGGGGGTTGGACTTTCAATTGAGTGAGTGCCGAGCGTAGTTTGAAGTATTGTTGGGGTAATTTGTTTGCTTGTGCAGCCAGTAACTCGTGGTTATCGTACTGACAGCCCAAAACCATATATGTATGGCCTGCCTGGTTGGGGCTTTAATGAGGGCCATTCATGCTTGATGGGGTTAGGGCTAGTTGATAGATAGTCTAACTTCAAGCTCTCGTGCTCGCCCGTGCCGCCTCGTGCCAAAGTTCAGCGAAAGTGGAAGTCTCCCCTGACCTGAAATCCCGTTCAGCTGTCACACATGTCGGCCATGTGGACCAACATGCCGTTTCTCGACCTGACCCCGCTCCCAAATGACATGCAACCGGAAATGTATGCAAATTCGGCAACATCTACCTAATTGGGGTTAACCACTTGGCGATTAAAGAGCAGACTTAATGCCTAGTCATACCCAGCCTGACAGCCCCAACAACTCATTAAACTGTCTCCCGAGCCTTTGACATAAAAATGATAATTCAGAAAAAGCACGTGCAGCTGGGGTCGGGAGGTGGGTGGCGTAGGATGTTACGGGTTAGGAGGAGGATATAGGATGTTTGGGGCGCCATAGGGTTGCGATAGTGGTTCGGGGGAAGTCACTCAGTCGCTTCGGTTGCATTTCGCGTGTCGAAGACACTTAAACCGCAATGCCAAAAGGAAGTGACTCGGGCAGCTAGACAAACAAACATTGGCTATCGCTGATTCAGGGCTGCGGGAATGTTGATGGAAGGATTTGGTGGTTTTAGAGGGGTTCGGATATTTGTTTCGTCAAATACTTCCTTAAAAACACAGCATTTTGGCAACAGAAACCAGAATATGGACTCATTCTGATACGATCAGAAAAAACACGAAAGGATCCATTTCATTTTCTCATGGTAAATTTATAAAATATACTTTTTCCATTGAATATTGTCGAATTCAAGAAAGAGCAAGACAAAAAGCAAGAAGCTAGATTGATACCATACTTCCTCAAAATGATTATCATATTTTATCAATTGTTTCTCTGTGCGATATCAGACTTTTACAATAGTCCTTTTAGTTTTCTTTATAGGAAATTACATTTTTGAGGCGTAACTCACTGCTTATAAATTAACAACCAATCTATTTTATGCTTTCAAAAAAGCAAAAGACGTTTCTGACTCAAATAGGAATTGTTTGTGAATTTTATTTGAATAGTGCCACTGCGATTTAATATTTTAAGCGTCAAAAATACCTATTTTTACTTTTGTCCATGAAGTATATAAAACTATCAACAATTTTGGAAATCGAATAACACTATAGTTATGCTTAACTAAAAGGTGTATCGAAATCAGCACAATTGGTTAAAAAATAATTCGAATTCCCAGTAGCGCTTATTTACGGTCCCTCCTTAAAACCTATAAAAAAATTTCGCTCCATGATATATTTTATTTTGTAGGGGCTTTCAAATGATTTCTAGCGTTGAGTCTAGTGGCAGTTTCTTTCCCGCAGCCCTGTGGCGTCCGCAGGTCACCCAGATACATCGATTCGACATGCCGGGCGACACTGGCGTCGTCGTCAAGCCAAACAGAAGCGGCAGTGAGGCGTCAACTGGCAAAGCAACCAGTCATCCGCCGGCGACGAGGAAGAGGACAACTGAGCACCCGAACCAGAAACGCTGGAATACGCTTTTGTTTACCCGATTAGTATGCACAGGATTTAATTAGCCATAGAATCCGGGAGGAGCCGGAGGAAATGCGACCCATTTGGGAGTCGGCCAGCAGGCCGCTGTTTGTGCGCTCCGTGTGGCAGGAGACGATCGGCAGACGCCACTTCATCCTCGACTACGAGCCGCGACAGAGGCAGCGCTGGAAGCGCCAGAAGACAAGGTCGAGGGGTAAGCACTCCACTCCACTCCAGAAGCACTCCTTCTTAATCGGGTTCTTTAGAAAATGAACTCTTAAGTCAGGTTCTTGAGAAAATTATACCCATAATTGAATATGGATATTGAATTATTTTTCCTAAAATGTTAAGATGTCAAGCTGTACTGCGATGAGTTATCATTCTAGTAACAAAACAAAAATTGCAATTCCCATCACAATAGGATAGTATATTTTTCTGGAAATACACACTTAAATTACATTGCGTGTAGGTCCCTGCTGATAATGACTTCAATTTAAATGTAAAGTGCATATTAACCTGGTTTTAAAACAATAAGCTACCAAAATTGTTTTTAAAAACCCCCACTAAACATTTATTGATCCACCATTGTCAGCGGATAAAATAAATAAGTATTGTTCAAGACCAAAATACCAATAGGTTTCCATTAAACTTGTGTTAATAATAAAAATAGTAATCCCAATAACTTTGATTAAAGGCAACTACACGCAGACGCAATCCTGGGATTTCTTTGAGCAGTCCCCGGAGGAGAGTGTGGAGTACCTGGACGAATACCCCCTGCTGGACGCCACCAAACTGACGCTGCAGCAGCAGCAATCGATGCCCACTGTGGGTGGGCGGCCTGGCCCCGCCCCCTCGACGGGTGGAGGTCATCGGGCAGAGCAGCGGCACAACAGCCGCCAGTCGAAACGCCGAGCATGGCTGCTGAGTCGCGGGCGAACCTATAACCTGGACCACCATGTGGACCATCAGTCGCGGCGCAGTTCTCTACAGGATGCAACCAGCACGCTGGCCACGACGTCCAACAATCCAGAGGAGCGGCTGGCCGAAAGGGTGCTCCATTGGCTGGACCTGGCAGGACGCACGGATATAGTAAAGGACAAAGTACCCTCTCCACCGGCGACCAGTAGTGCCCAGTTGGCCAGGTCCGCCCAGAGGATGCAGCGAAACCACCATCGCAGCATGAGTCTCAAGCGGGTGGCCGCGGCGGCAGCGAATCACCAGAGATCGGTGGCCAGGAAGCCGAGTGCCAAGCCGCCGCCCGCCGCCCAGCAGGTCACTAACTCCTCCCCGTCCGCCTCCAATGCCAAGCCCATAACCATTATCTTCAACAAGGAGGGCGTGCCCGTGCGTCTCAATAGACCCGCCCGCAACATCGACCTCTGCACCCTGAGCAGCAGTGCCAGCACCACGAGAAGATTGGCGGGTCAGCTGGCCTCGGCCCGCCTGTACAGTGGAGCCACTGCATCACCGCTGCCGGAGGACAGCCGCACGCCGCCGCTCAGTGGGCGGGGAGTCGGGACATCCGCCGCCTCGGACAGCCGGAAACAGCTGCACATCTTCATGCCCAGTCTGCCCAAGAAGGGTCTGCTGGCAGCGGGTTCCACGACGGGCAGTGGCATCGGAGGTTCTGGCGAGGATGCCCTGAGCACCACCTTCAGTGAGCTGTGCCAGTTGTAGTCGGTTACAGTACACCGTACTGAGTAAAGTCATTCGGGCTTTAATGGTGAACAATAAAATGCGTAGGAATAGGAATACATAAAAAAACACATCCAATCTTTCAAGATTTGCAATGGAGTTTACTTAAAATAATTTATACTATTTGCATTTTTTAACGTTTCTTTGTATTTGGCCAGTAGAATCAATTTTTGCACAACTTAAAATTATAATAATCTTAAATTTCAAGATCGGCAAGATAAATTAAAAGATTTTACTATATGAAGCCTATACAAACGTGTTTTCCCATTCCTTCTATCTTACAACAAAGGTTCAGTGACATTCACGTGGTTAATGCGGTTAATTTGGATAACTATCGCTCATCCTATTCCTTGTCCAAAAGAAAAACTTTTCGTTTTCCTTGTAAGGCAACCTGCGTTTTATTTATAAGTTCCAAAGAAAACTAAGCCACTGTAGTGGTTCTATAGTATGTTGTATAGAACACAGAAAATGAAAGGGGAAATTAGTTCTATTAATGTGTATACCAAAAACAAAAAAGAGCTAACTAAATAAACGAAGAATTACTTTTTCGAATTTGGGACTCTCTTAAAAATCTTAGGTTTACCATAGAAGTAATGCTTGGAGTACTAACAAGAAATGTACGAAAATCTACAAAGCCAAGAGGAGGTTTGACAGATATAGTTGAACTAATAAATAATTTCCATAAAGCCGTTGACCTTTTAAAATTCTTTGTCGTCAAAGAATGTAAGGGTATTTCATGTTCTTCTAGGGACTGCTTATTAATGTCGTACAATCTTTTCTTGGTTTTATTGATTTTCGTTTTTGTTCCGTTGCCATTGAAAGTTTCTTTTGTTTGTTTCTTTTTATCGAATTTGGAAGGTTTATTTTTGGATTACCCCGAAAAGTCGGCGGCATGTGCCACGCCCATTTTCTTTTGTTTTGATTTCAGTTCTGACTTCTTCATTGTTGATTTTTGCATTTTTTGCTGGTGGGGGTGGTGAATCCGGTGGTTCCGAAGTGAAAGGAGCGTAATCAATGTAATTGTGGAAATATTGCATGTTTAACAATGGAATAAAGTTAAAGTTAAAGTTTTCCCTAATGAATGTGGTAATTTTGCGCAGAATGTGGAGAATCCACGTTGGGAACGGAAAAGAAGCATTATTTAATAAAACGGAGTAGGTAAAATAAACGATTCTTGAAAACACAATGACGTTAAAAATACGATTGTAACTTTTTAATTGTACACTGCTATAAAAGATGTAAATGAAAAAGAAAAATATTCAAGAGTTCAATATACAAGATTAAAATCTATATTAAACCTGATTTATCTTAACTACCTATGGATATTTGCCTTGCTAACTATTTTATGGGGCGTACGACAGACAAAACGTACGCGGTCGTAAAATAATTATGGACATTACATATCCATCAGTCTAATGGGGTAACAACTGTCAACCGTTGCGAAGGAGATTCCTTGGATATCCATCAAGCGTCATGCAAGCAACACCCAAATCTAAACTATCCGCCTGCCACACGTGGCAAGTTGTCGTTGTCGTCGTCATCGTATTATTTTATGACTGACGCGTCGGAATTTAGATTCGTTTTCAATATCACCAACGATACACGGGTACAGGTCGGAGGGCAATTGCCAATATGGGAGACAAAATATGGAATAAGGAGCTCCAACCGATAGAAAAATGATCAATTTGGAAGTATCATTTATAAAGGTAACGATGTATAGAGCAGGACATGATCCCATATAATATAATTTATAGAATAATTTTTAAAAAAGCAAGCATAATGTGATCCCAAATTCGCGTTCTTATTTACAAAAACCTTTTAATACTGATCACAACATGCAAACTTCAAATATTGTTAGACTATGTTTGAACCTTAGCTAAAATTCGGATAAGTAAATAGTAACTAATGGTTTCTACTAAGTTCAGTAAAATAATTCTTTTTTGATTCAAGAAATCCAAAAATATGGTTTTCGATCCCCATTTAAAAGATATAATATCAGAGTTTTGAAATTTGTTTCTTGTGCATTTGGAAGATACACCGCAATAGATATAGATGGTGGGGGATAAGCGCAAGGCTCAATGAGTCATTGCGTCTGGCATGACAGCGAAACGACACCGAAAAAGCCGCACGACTGTGACCTTTGTCTAAATGGGTCTGGTTGGGTGGCGACCACGGCCCCCGTCTCCCTAACCAAGTCCACAGCCAACGGAAAACGGGGAAAACTTTCTGACTTCAAGGCAAGCCAAAAGACAAAAGGGGGAGCAATTACTTTTGGAGGCAAAAACTTTGGGCCGCCTGACGTTTGACTTTTCCCGTTCGCCCAGCGAAAGAAAATGCGCAACAATACTGGGTGTACTTGGATTGCACACATAACAGCCTAAACGGACTTATAGACAAGCCGTTCCGCCTGCCGTGACTTATTCGCGTTTCTGCAGCGGACGCGGCAGGTTCTCCGGCGGTTGGCGTTCTTCTTTTCCGACTGCTAGCCATCTAACGAGCAAAGTTTTCCACGACGCACGTTGGTTTTCCGGCCATTAGTGGCATGTCCACCGACGAGGACTCCCTGGGCAGTCCCCTCAAGCCGGCCACGCCCACTCCCGTCGAGCGGGAGCGACCCAGGGGCGGACGATCCGGGGCGGCGGATCTGCTGCGCCACCAGCAGAGCTTCGAGGCCCGCTACAGCGGCATCATCCAGAAGCAAATCTGGGAGACGAGCATCAACAAGGACGTGCTGGAGCGCCAGCTGAACGCCTACTTCCCCTTCTCGCGCAGCGCCTCGCTCTCCAAGGATGGATCCGGCGGATTCGATCAGCTCCTGCCGCCGGCAACGGACGGAAGCGGAAGTGGGAAGACCCGTTCACTGGCCACCACGCCCACCAGGCGGCCAGGCGTCTGTCTGGAGAAGCTGGAGACGGTGGACGTGGCCTCCCTCGAGCAGCAGACCCAGGGAAAGTAGCTTCGGAGTCCCAAGGGTTAAGCTTACTCATTCATTGTGATGTCCGTAAGGTTGAAAGGCAATTTTGACATTTTTAGACTAAGATAGGATTAAAGGAAGACCCCGGGTTCCAAAATATACAATCAAAACGTGTCATCAGGCGGCATATGTTCAAAGATTTTGCATTGAAATTTCTGTTTTACCTATGCTACATTGCTCCATTTTATAAGAACCTTATGTTTTTTAAAGGGTAAAGAACACCAAATCTTAAGATTTTAAGTTGTTTTTTTTATGTTTCTGTTTCTATGAAGTAAAAACAATAAAATTGTAATCATTTAGTGAAGAACCAAGAAACTAAATCCGGGGTTTTTTAAAAAACGATTTCCAGTATAGCTTTAATGAGTATTACTATCGTCTAAGTCAAGCAATCTCTGAATCTACTATTTATTAAGCACTCCCGATTCGTCTAGCTCTAAAACAATATATTTGCACAGTTTAAACTAGGTCAATGTAAAATTCCCTTTTTATCGGCTAAGGGTATGAACGTATTCCCGGATCAAAGTGAACCCTATTTAAGCTACTATTATTCAATCTTCTTCAATAAAACAAAGGCTTATTGCATATTCAATTTGGTGTCGAGTCAAACGGATAAGGCCATGGCCCATATAAATCTCCACAGGCTCCCGGGTAAATCTAATTTATGGGGATATTATGCGAGAAAAATAAAACGGGGGAGGTGTGAAAAATAGGGGGTGCGAGGCCAGAGATCAAATGTAATAATCAAATGTATTTGCGGCAATTTTCGCTCCAGCACCTTGAGCGCGAAACGAGAAAGCACTTAAGTGGAAATGCCGCCAGTCAAACGCTAAAAGCCCAGCCCCTTCCTCTATCCTGTCAGCAGGGAAACTCCTCTGCGGAGCTAATAGTTTTTCCACTTTTCCTTTGACTTTCACTTCCGTGCTCTCTCAACAAGTTGCTCGAGTGGCTCGGCTATTTCCTTTGGTTTTTCCCAACTTGTTGATTTAAATTCATGAACGTTTAGCACAAAGAGAAATCTCGCTCCTCCTTTTTCGGCTTTTTCCTTCGCCCGGCTGTGTTTGTCAGGCTGGAGGACCGGAGGACTCCCACTCGATGTCCATGTGTTTGGCCAGACACTTGACATAAGCACTTGGCCTGGACACATCCACCCCCAGAGAGATTTCGCCTTTCCTTCCCTGGTGGGGTTTTAGTGTCAACTGCAGGAGGGTTTCCAGTGCGTGTCTATTTAATTGACTGCCGACGGCTCGGCACTTGGAGCTGCCCAACTCAGTCTGGTCCACTGGTCATCGGAGCTTGTTAATGACTAAGCAGGGCCCTTGGGCATTGATTAGTTGTTGGCTGGTATTTGATTTAATGGCCGGGTGTGCCGCATAAATTAAGCCCTGAACGATCAGAGATATCATGTGGAATGCTGCCCATCGAAATCTCTGCCCTTAGTTGATCCAGATTAATTAGTAGCTGGTTGCTATTCCATTTGGTAGAGCTCTGCTAAAGCAACTTAAACTAGGACTACGTTACAGGGGACTAACAAAAATGAACACAAATAAAAAGTAGATATTGTTATGTGGCCATTTTTGACGATATATTAAGTTTGATTTTACTTGTTATAAGAGAAATAAAATATTTATTTCTACAGTTACAGAAAAAACTTCCATCCCTTTACCACTTTATCTATATATATTTAATCCCAACCTTAACAATATACGTTTTCCTTCGTATCAGTGCCAGTTCCCTGTTAAGTATCTAACAACCCATGTTAATCCCAAAGAACCTCAGCTGTCAGTACCTTGAGAATTGATGAACTGACAAAGACCATTCGCATTGACAGGAAGGCGTTCATTAGCTTAAGTGCCGCTCTGTGGTAATTTTATGGCACCACTTCCTCCGTTCTCTGAGGAAATGGACAATTTCCAGGCGATTGACTGGCAAGGATAACCAACCCGGGAGATAAATGCTCATGAAATGCTAATGGCCAACGGCCACCGGGGACAGAGATTTATGCGAGGGATTCAATGGCAAACACTCACCCACTGTGGTCAGCAGCATGTTGTCCAGGAGCAGGGCTATGGCCACGATGACGAGGACCAGGCGGTTGGAGCCCCGCCAGCTGACCATCCAGGACTTGGCGGCGGACCAGGTCCCGGCAGCGCGTGGATCCTCCTCGCGGTACTGATCCGCTGGCGGCGGAGCCTGTCGTCCTCCGTAGGCCTGCGACTGGTAGGTGGGCGGGGGCGGAGCCGGCGGCTGCTTGCCGACGCCCAGGATCCCGCAGTCCTGGTCCATGTTGCCATTCTGCTGATTGCTGTCCAACTGCTGCTTGAAGGGATTTTTGCTGGGGGTGCTGCTGGCGGGTCCACCGGGACTCGGCTGCTGCTGGCTGTTCGTGGCGCTTATGGTGAAGGAGGTGGTCTCGCTAATCTCCGGCTGCTTCTGGGGGGCTGTGCTCTGCGTGTGTTTTCTTGGTCCACCATTGCCCGCATCGGTCGATGATTGCATTGCGTCGCTAGCCGCTGGTTGCTACGAAAGGCAGTAAGCCGATTGTCTTTTTAAAATGTAATCAAATCAGGAGTAAGCAGCTTTCCCATCCCCGATCCCATTCCGTTCTCATTCCCACAGCCGTTCCCATTCCATTCCCATTCCAAATCGAGATCCCACGCTCGCTTTATGCCCCAATGATTTTCGCTAATTAAAAGTGAATTACAAGTCTTGGGCTCGGAATTGAAAAGTATCTTCACACGGCTACACGGCTCTAATTGAATCATACGCAATTTAAATATTTATTTAATTGCCAGCCACCCCAGCACCAAAAACACGGGGCGTATGCGCAACATTTGTCATTGGAGCATTTTCTGTTGCCTAGCGCAGGGCGCAAATTGAATTTGCCTGCATAATTCGTTTTGAAAGACCCACGAAAAGGAGCCAAAACGCAGACCTCCTTAAGTTTTCGGTTGCACAATCGAATTAACCCACTGCTATTGGCAAAAAGGTCTCCTAATTGAAGGCTAAGATGAATCAAGTCTTCCGCCAAAAGCCTTTGCATAATGCCTCCAATTTATTTCGCAATTGAGACGGCAATTGATGCCTGTCCCGGCGGGCAATTGATTGTTTATGACGTCTTCGCAGAGACAAAGTGTTGTCGTTGAATGACAAATGGAAGTATCTGATAAATAGACGAGGAAGCTGCTGAAAATGCACACTACTGCATCACGTTTGGGGGCGTGACAAACAGCAGCAAAATTTGTCATTCAAATTGATTAAATCAACTAGAATTAACGCTGGACTACAAAGCTGTTGCATTAGTTACAGTACTACCCCAAAATGGCATCGTTTTAATTAGCATCTACATTTGTCCAGCCGTTTCACAATTAATTATATTATACTTCAGAGTACTTGTAGTACTTTGTATACTAATATCCATGGGAAGATCTCTGGGTTATGGGCTATCATATATTTTTTAAACAATTTTACAATACCCGAAATGAAGTACATATAGCTGTGAGTCTTAGAATAAGGTCTTTTCTTGTCATTTCCAATAAGGAATATTTAAAGTTTGCATTTCCTTGGGGTGTATTTTATTTGTATATGGTTTTTAAAATGTTATTTTAGGTGTCGGTATTCCGATTAAATTTACCTGGCTGCTGTTCCCCTAATAAAATGATATAGAGACTGCTGGCCACACAAATAGCACGATAACCTTTCCTCCAGAATATCACTTGCACTAATGAACCTGAATTGCCACCAGGCCGTGGGTATTTATAGAACTCTGCTATAAAGACCGATTTTGAGTGGCTTACGATCGCTAAAAGCCGTCGGATTCGCGCACAGAAATCCCAATTAGCCGCGGACTCAGTCCCAGTGAATCAGAAGCCAAGGCGATTCGATTTGCGTTCAGGAAGTGCTGATCCTCTCATTCGGGTTGCACTTTCTTTGCCACAATGAGTTCACTTTCAAAACTTTTTCGGGGTGGATCGTTCATTCCGCGGATTCTACCGACAAGTCGGCGCTCTGAGCTCGAACTAAAAACCCTAGCGTGTCGCCTGAGGCTTATTAAACGAATTAATTTTTGCGCAAGTGAGAAAGATTTGCTTAGTTAGTATACAAAGTGATCGCCGCGAAGAGAACTCAGACATCTTTGCATTTCAAATGAATGCACAATGAAAAGTGTGTAAAATACATTTTAATAAATATTAATTATCAATTGGCATGCAATTTCGGTTTATGGGCGTGGGAAATCGAATCAAACAAAAGCTTAAGTTTTTGATTTCAAATTATGCTAATGCGTTGAGTTTTCAAGTTTAACTATTCAGAGCCTAAAGTCAGCCCCTCTTATTTCGACTTGATTAAGTCCGTTTTAATTCAATTGCATTTCAAAAACAATTCTGAAATGCATTATTGTCGCGTGTTGTTTTCTATGTTTTTATTAGTACTAGAATAAAAAACATGTTGACGAGAGGGAATTTGAAATACTCTATCAAGAAAGCTTTTCAGGTTCAAGATTGTAACTAACCTAAATTCAATTTAAACTACAATGTGTTATTGGAATATAAAAGGTACGTGTGAGGTCTCTTAAAAATGATCTGTTAAATAATGATAACTATTCTGTATAGGATTGGTTTTATCGTTATTAGTAATGTCTTTAAAATGAGTTTATTAACTGCAGCCTTAAGTTAGAGTATAGTGAATGCCTGGCTTAAATAATTTTGAGCTGCATTTGCGATGCGATGTGACGAATGCGATTGTTAAATTCATTATTTATGTTCCCTCAGATATTTATTTTGATTGCTGTTTGTCGTTGCTTTTAGTTTAATTGTTGTTGTTGCTGGAGCTTGTGTTAATTGCACAAGATTTTCAACTGGCGACGGTCAAAAATTTAGCGGCTTGTTGCCTTTTCCAGCCACTTCTGAGCATCGACACGCAACTTTATTTAAATTGTGCTCATTTTTCAGATTTTTATTAATTAAAAAGAAGCTCATGCCGGGGCTTTAGCATTGGACTTGAGCTTGACATTGAAGTCAGCGGCTCCCGCAAGACGAAGAGGCCCCAGTTTACACGAGGCCATAAACTGGTTTTCCTATATAATCAACCAGGAATTGAAAGCCCTTCAAGCCTGCTTTTTACATTTTATTGTTGTACAAATTTGCACAGACGCCCGAAGCTGCAGCCGATGATATTTTTTACTACTTATAATTGCATTTTTAATTACAAAGCGATGGCGTTGCCGTTCCATCAGATATATAGCTGGGGCGTGTAAATGAGGCCCCTTTAAACTAATTAGCTTAAATCGATGCCAGCAAGCAATCATCCATACAAAAACTAGAAGCGCTTGAACAATGGGGCTATGCAATGGAGGAGTGGAACGTGCCTAAGTGGATTAGAGAGATCCGAGCGATCGTCAAGAGCTGAACTTTCTTAAAATGCTTAAAATTGGCTTACGAAAACATACAATTTTATTAAAAAGTAATGGTTTTCGAAACCAAGTTTAGTCTTTGCTTTGCCAGTTCTTAAGTAAGTCTCTTGAAAACTTCGTTTGAAGACTCCGGGTTTAAAAACATACTGCCTAACGTTAAATGTTTTTTTTTTGGAACCCTTTCAGAATTAAGATAAGTTTTTTCTTTTTGTTCAACATTTTTCTGGTTTATAAAAGAAGAACATTAAGATCATATCAAATGATACAAATATAAATAATAAATATATCAACATAAAATTGTGTTATAACATCCGTTTTTCTACACTTTAGTCTACGTACCTGAGTAAATTTGGATATGCGACTTGTTTAGCTTCTTCCAGGGAATTTATGCGGAGTTACGGTTTCGGTGGGCGGAAGGGGTGGATTTTGGTCTGTTGTGCTCAAAAGTCTATTGCGATTTTACAGTTTATGTTGTCAGGTAGTTGCTGTGGCCGGATTTTGGCGGGTGAGGTTGTACGTTGTTGGAGTATTCCTGTGGGAGAAAGGAAAAGAATGAAGTCATTTGAATAAAGAGGCTTAAAGGGAAGCGGAAAAGTCTCCGGTGGCACAACGATTTCTGCTGACAGTGGCCACTTGTGGATTTTGTGTTTTCTGATGGCACTCAAGTGGTTTTCCTTTGAGGAATTGTTTGCTCTTCAGAGGACTTGCGGCAAGGTCGTTGGCCAAGAAAAGACAAGGAAATGTAGGAATTATAAAAGATCTTGGCGTGTTACATAAGAAATAAGAGTTCTTAAACAATAAAGTTGGCAATACCTATTTCCAATTTTCTATAATTATCAAGCTTGTAAATACAAGCTAAACTGGTTGGAATAAGCACCGACTATCTATAGTAAATGTAAATAAATATGTGTGCGGATTTATTATTCATTATCCAAATATCCCACACTCAATGGGATTGAGGCTATTTGTCCAGGGCAAATAAAGATAAGTAAAGGGTATTTACATCAATATTTGTTAATACTTTTATTTGACTTCTTTTTTTCCAGCATGTTGGCGGTTGTCAAACCGAGCAAAAAAATTTTGTGTGCCTGCCAGGCCCGATTCAAATCGATTTACAAATAAATACATGGTGGTATAAATAAACATTCGGTTGTTGCCGCTTTAAAATGCAAATTTCGATTGAGTTTTGATTGATTTGCCTTACTCGCAACGAGGGGAGACTTTGGCGAAGATAAACAAATGAATTTCGGTTTTGGGAACTTATAAACAAATATTTAATAATTGATCAAGATTAGAAAAACTGCTTTAACCACTGAAATCAGCCTTTATAATAACTTTGTTTAGCTATAAAATAAAATAAATAATAAATTGTAACGAAAATGAGTTATATTTCTCAACTTAAAATTTAAAAACATCTTGGTTTACATATTTTTTGAACTTACACCCTTAAATGTTTGAAACTTTCACATATTTTTGGAAAATGTTGTCCGTTGCTCGTGCTGGAACGTTGTGGGATCTAAACACGGTTGTAGACGCACATTTGTTGGAATTTTCGAAAGTGATTTTGTTGCTTAAACCAAACTAAACTAGAGCTAGAACGGCGACTGATTGCGAGTGGGTGCCACAAGTGTTTTTCTGGTGCTGAGGCTGCACTGCGAGCGTGGGAAACGGGCACGTCCATCAGCCACGAGATCTCATCTCGCACTGAACGGAGATGCGCTGGCCAGCGGCGCACGACGTCGACGGCGGACGACTGCGCCCAGGATAAGGATGTCCTGGTGGCAAGTGCCCGAGGAGCGGAGGAGGCCAGGAGGACGGGGAGCAGCGGCGCTGGCAGCGCTGCCACTTGTTGTCTGCTGCCTGTTGCAGCACACTCCCACCCCGGTTATCCGTTCTGGCTCAAACACCACCCCCACTTTCCAGCACTCCTTCTGCCAGAATTTCCCCCACTTTCCTGGCCCTGCATATTGATGGAAACTGCCAACGGCAATGATTCTGCTCAATTGCCTTCATTGTGTTTGGGCTCTGTGAGTAGATGTGCGTTGGGGTTTCCACAGTTTGATTTTATTTTCGCTACGCCTGCGAGTATGCAACGCGTTTTGGGGTTGCCTGCCCTATAGATAGAGACCGAGAGGGCGGCACACGCATATTATGCCTAATTGATTTTCGCCTCCTAAGTGGCAAATCAATTTTTGGGGACAGGAAGGGACATCTTTAATGGGATTCGCGTTTGTCAAAAGTCAAATTTTCAAACTCTTAAAGGGAAGCGAAATGATAAGTGAAGTATCTACCATCTCTCTAAGAACATTTAAAACTCCGTCAAACTCATGCTGTACTTTTAAAGGAATGCTTTTGTAAAATTATACCTTTTTTTGAAAAACCAGAAATCTGAAGCCTTTTTATATTAACTAAACATTATACAACATATAGGGGTCATTAATAATTTATAAGATAAGTTTAAACTTATGAAAAGCCGATACACTATTACATGTTTAGCCGCCATAGAGCGTGTGAAACAAGATATATTGTATTAACATCTTTTCGTCACATTTTGCCATTACTTTCTATATGTTTGGTATAACGAGGTCACAATTCAGGTTTTCTTGTTAGTCTAAGGTGTAACAGGTGTGTTGCGTATCCCCCAGGACATTGGCCTGAGGGTAAACGTGAACTTAAACGTGTTGTTGCACTGATTTAACCAATTTCCGGTGGAACTCCATAGCCGGCAGACGGTTTGTGTGTACGTACACTGAAACCACCTGATGGATTCTCGAGGTGAACCTGAAATGTTCCACTTACTCATGGGCCTGTTCAATTAATCCATTTAAGCGGTTGTAAATTTATGCAGCCAGCCGGATAAGACACGCGACAAAGACAAAAGTCAGATAAAGATACGGATGCGGAGATACAAAGACCGCTGCGATTGGAAAACGACACGCGACTGAATCGAAGATTGGGATAGAGGCAGATACCGAAGTCGGAGGACGGGCCCAGAAATATTTATAGGCATTAACGATGTTGCTGGAGCTTTGTGATCACGTCTAGGGTCTCGAATTTGCATACAGAAGTCGAGATGTTAAACCTGGCATTCTCAACCAAACGAAATAAAATGTGAAGAGTGGATGGCGATAAACATAATGGAACAGAAACACATTGACCGATCAAAAATGGGCAGCGGATGACCTTGATATAGCAAGAAGCCAATCTTAAAGATACCTAAGAATCTGGAGAAAACTCGACCAGTTTGTATAATCTAAGTTAATTTTAATTTATGTACATGAAAGAGATATATGTTAATTATTGGCTAAGGAATTTATAAATTTATCCTCTTCTATTCATTTTTAAAAGCATATAATTACTACTATTATGGATATGCTTTAGAATATCTTTGAGTCTATCCCTCAGAGGCTCAAGCTCTAATTGCTTTTAAAATACGAATAAATTTCCCTGGACATAAAAAGAAAACCAAAACCAACAATAAAGCATGCCACAAATCGATTTCAAACACACGCTTTGTGTAAAACTCTTGGATTGAAAATCGGTGAAAAAAGCGTTGGCGGCAACAACTACAATGGAGCCATAAAAAGGTGGAGAGTTCCATTGAAGTGTTAAAGTGGCGACGCCAAAATAACTTCAAAGTTAATGGACTAGAAATCGACCAGGACTGATGGCATTAAATAATACAATAAATGCAGGAATGCTTTTGCGAGAGGACTGTATTGGGACTTAAAAGGCCCATTTTGATTTTCGGGCCTGACAAATTGAATTTGCCACATATGACAGCTTAACTTCATATGCTGGGGGTTAAATCGATGACAAAGTGGCTCGCAAACTGATGCGGGTCACTCCGATGGAAATCTCTGGCGCTGTGGTCAAGTTTTTATCACAATCGAAAAAAGCAGAGGGAAAAATAGAAACCGGAAAACCCATTCGGCCGCAAATGTTTAATTTCCTTTTGTTTGAAATGCTACACACAATCCTCGAGCTTGAGCTGTCATTAGCATTTGTGAGATCTATTTAAAAGGACGAGTGCCAGTATCCCCCAGTCAAAGTTCAAATGTCACCCGACTCGTGTGAGTGTGCCTGGGGTGGAGATATTTTCCATTTCCCCAGGCGCTGGGAACGATTCGCCGAGTCCTGTGGGGGTGTCGCATATTTGGTGGCATTCAATTGGAATATCAACACGTGCCACATCATCTTCAGCAGCTTCTGGAACTGCTTTGGCTCCTGCTTCGGCATAGTTGTGTTCGCCTTTTCCGCCTGGCATTTGTCTTATCGGAGAATGAGCCCGACTTCATTAGGAAATTCCGCAAATATTTTGAATTTATTATTGCGCTTTTATATTGCGGCTAAATGAAACGACGCTGACTATGCTGAAGGGGTTTTTCACTCCAAGCCAGTGAAAGTGAATGGCTGGCCGACGATTTGAAGGAACTTTGACTCAAGGGGATATGTTTCGCATTATTAAATTACTAAAGCTGAGTTATAACTTACAAGTTAAAACAAAAGAGAACACTATAGTCGATGCCTTCGGCTATCAGATACCCGTTAATCAGCTAGAGCTAGGGAGATACAGATACATATACAAGTAGCAAAGCGTCTGTTCCCAATATTTCACACTTTATTTGCGTATAACTTTTTAATAAATGGTCCGAATTGATCAACTTTTGGTACGTACATACATATATGGACATTGATAATCAAAAGAAAAATACATTTTTCAAAAAAATTAATAAGTGTGTATGCTGCTGAAACGAACATGCGCTGCGCAAAATGCTCAAGAATCTACATGCCAAATTATTTCTAGCTTTTATACAGGCAGACGGACATGGCTAGATCGACTCGGTTAATGATCCCGATCAATGATATATTTACCTTATAGGGTCGGAAACTCTCCCGTCTACCTGTTACATACTTTCCAACGAATCTAGTATACCCTTTTACTCTATGATTAACAGGTATAAATACACAAACGCATGTTTCCGTGCTATGCATATTTTATTCATTCGATGTGGATGATCTTGTTGATCTTACCTCATAGAGAAATATTTTTTCAGTTCAAAAATATATTTTTTTAAATTTCTGCAAAAGTGTGGAGCAAATATCCTATAAAATTATGTAGTAATATGCAACGTTTTAGGTGCAAAAACGTGCTCAAAACATTTTAAAAGGAAGGGAACATGTTTTCCAAACAATTTTCGTCGGCATAAACAGACCACTTCTATAGCATAGTTGTTTCTAATAAAAGCTAAAAAAAAATATCCAATAAAATTAAAAAAACATTATTTAAAGTAAATAAAAAAAATTGTCGCCCAACGTGGGGCTCGAACCCACGACCCTGAGATTAAGAGTCTCATGCTCTACCGACTGAGCTAGCCGGGCACTTGCACACCCTTGCGTCAGAAAACGTCCGAAGATCACGCTGCAAATTATATGTTATACAAAAAAGAGAATTACGAAAATTACTCTAAAAATAGCAGATCTAATATAGGATTTCGAAACTATAAATTGTTTATTATATTATACTACTTTGTAAGAATACGTAAAAAAGTAGCCTATGCTAACTTGATTACTTTTTTTTTTTTTGAGGACCTTCATCTAAAATGACTGACATTTGGTTTTTTGACCCGTTTAGCGGTCTTAAACCGGAATATAGAGCAACCCGTATGGAACGGATTACTAATAAAAGAAAAATTAATTTAATGTTCTTTAAGCCATTTATTTCACTTAGAGAAACTTGCATATAAATGAGTCAGATGACGAGTCCTGCGCAGTGTCCGTGGAGGAGGCGTGGCCAAGGACGACCAATCGAGTGGCTCGGATAATACGCACTGCTTTTATCCGCCAGTCAGAGGAAAAACCCGAAGCGGATGGAAGCTGTGGAAATCATTCGGCTCTTTACTTGTTGCTCGCTAAGTGAGAAGGGAAAACCCCAAGAGCAGCGTGAAAATTGATAATAAACGCACTTCGCACGTACACACATTCGCACGAGCATTTAAGGGGTGTGGTGGCATAGAACACTTCTAGTCACATTTATTGCCAGCTTTTATTTTATGCTTTTGATTTATGGGGCAGCTCTCACATTTAGGAAATTGTCAGAAGAAGGGTCTTCGACCAACTGAAAATCATAATCATTCACAATAGCAGAACCATGAAAGCATGGCATACTTTTAGGCTTAGCACACAAATGTTCCCAAAGCAAGACCACTTTAAAGATTAACTTATAATCTGAAAACCATTCCAAATCCGCTGAAAGCCTGAAAGAAGAGTAGTTTTATGATTAATTCGCACTGTAGCATCCATCTTTCCGGTCAGCTCGTTCGACATTGACCAATTGCCTTCCCATTAATTTTCCTTCTTTGGAAGCTTTTGCTGTTAAGTGTCCCTGTGGATTGCAACTGATTTCCGTTTCACTCTCTCTGCTTATCTACTTAATTGCATTTTTATTAGCCTGTTGCTCGGACGCAGAACCTCAGAAGTAAAAGCGGGTTGGATTTTGTGGCGCTTTAAGTAAATAATACAGTTTTTATTACCTCCATCGAATCGTACAGATAACGCGAGTCAGCTTAAGTACTTAACACTCGACGTAATTAATCGTATATTACGTAATAATAAAAACTTAAGAGCTAAGCCTAAGCGTTTTTTTTTTGTTCACAAGCAACAACGGAATTTCCCTAGCTTAAACAAACATTGCGATATTAGTCAATTAATATTTAACACTTCAACCAAGCGACTTATTATGTGTATAAACAACAGAGTATTTTTGCTACATATCTAAGCCTATACAATTGCACACAAGCAAACCCTAAGAGCTAGGACTAAACTAGGCTAATTGGCCACGCTTACAAACTGCTAATAGGTGTCGATTGGGTTGGGTACCACTACGCATCGTAGATCTTCAGATTGTCAAACTCATCGAGCGTGTCCTCTGAACTAGAAGTGGTCAGGTCCGACAGCTCATCGAGGCACTTCTGGCGCTTACGCACATTCCAGTGCAGACCCTCGGCCAGGGAGTCGAACCAATCGGATATTTGGTCCTGGGAGCAAATGCTGGGCACGGGGTAGATGGAGGTTGTCACACGCAGGCTGTCCCCATGGTTTAGCTCCTGATCGTTGCGTCCGTCGAAGGAGACGCGTGAGGTGTTGCGACTATCAGGTGAAATTGATATCTGCAATGCCAAGAAGATGCTTTTAGTTATCAAGTTCTTGATTCGATTGATCATAAATCAGTGGTTTTGCAACTTTTGCTGTTGTTGTTGCTCATGACAGCCAAACTTTCAATCATTGTCAGCCGGACAATATATTCCCAACTCACCTTTAGCTCCACTCCGGCGGGAACCACAATGGGCCTAAAGCTCAGCGAGTGCGGGCAGATGGGTGTTACCAAAATGGCCGGCACGGAAGGATGGATCATAGAGGCACCAGCCGCTGCCGCATACGCTGTGCTCCCCGTGGGCGTCGAAACGATCAGTCCGTCACCCTGCACCGACGTGATGTACTTGCCGTCCAAGAAGATATCAATGTTGCTCAGATATGGCGAGGGTCCCCTGTTGATCACCACTTCATTGAGCACCAGGATGCTGTTGTTAGGGCAGTTGTTGTTGTTGCATCCGACACTCCCTGTTTTTCCGTTGTTGAACTCCACGTAATTAAGCTGCCTGTGCAGGCTAGGCTTCAGGAGATTGGCACCCACAGGGGGTAGCAGGGACTCCTTGCGACGTTCGCCCTTGCGGTGGATGGAGCAACGCAGACGACTACGAAGCGTTAAAGCAGCATGACCCTCCAGGACACTCGTCACCTGCTCTTGGAAATTGTCGCACTGGAAGGGCGTGAGGAAACCGAGGGAGCCCAGATAGAAGGCCATCACCGGTGGCACCGACTGTTGAAACAGCTGGGAGGCATACAGCAGTGTCCCATCGCCTCCCAGGCAGACGATGAAGTCAATCCGATCGGTCAAGTCGTCGCGGCCATCTCTGCGAAGGGTGAAACAAATATCTGAAAGTTAGTACTTTTTTCGGACTATCTGCTCACGAGTTAATACAATTGTAATCATAAAAACTTAGAAGTATACTTTTGAAAGATACAAATTTGAGCTTTTTTCAGCATTAAATATTTTATTTAAAAAACATGTTAATGGTGCCTTATTTTACAAAGCTGTATATGAAAATTGAATTATTAAACATGTTGAGCTTCTGTTTACGTAACAAAAACTCTTTCATCAATAAAAATTGCCAGTGCTTAGAATACCTGAGACTATCAAGCCAACCGTATACAAAAATCTGATCCACTCACCTGAAGGTCACCAGGTTTTTCCGAAGTGCCAGGAAACGCGCCCTAACTCCGGCGTAGTCCTCATGCACCTGCCGGAACTTGGAGCTCTCCTGCTCCAGCTTGACGTCATCCCGAAGGAGCTTGTCCTCAAGGACGGCGGACTCCACCCAGACCACCATGCACTTCTCATTCACTAACCACTCCACCAGCTGGACGAAGGGCAGCAGGACCTGGGAGTCCTTCTTCTTGATCACCAGGACGGTGAGTGGCGGCTTGTACCAGGTCAATCGCTGGCTGGCAGGATCCTGAATCTGCATCACCATGGCGGAGTTCTTCATAATGCGTCCACATGGCCCAAATTGCTGGAATGGCGACGGAGCATTCAGACTTCTAGTGCGCCTGGAAAAATGAAAACGAGAATAGCGTTATAAAAGAGGGGACACAGGATTTTTACTACTAAAAATACACCTCAAAATACGTGGATCGGGCGCCACTGGGGTCACCTGCTGTTCCTCAACCTCGGAAATCTGGCGCTGCAAGCCTGCCGCTAATTTTAACTTTTGGTGATGCATAACGCCAGGTCCCTAACTATTATGGATGGTCACGCCCTTTTTAGAGCCTCCTTAGTAGTGCTGAACACAAAACTTGTTGGAATTTTCGACGCGAGCGCGACTGCTGCTCGTTTGAAGGTTACAAAATCACTGACTGGCCAATTCGGTGTTCGAAAACACAAAATAAAGGTATGTATATAACGAATTTATATTTTTGTTTTCATTACAACAACACGTAGCAGCGCAAATAAACTTGTTGAATCTGCGGTCCAAACAAACAGGAATTGCACATGCTAACAGAGAGATATGTGCAAAGAGAGGCCAAGAGAGCGGAACTGTGCGAGAGCACTGCTTTTGAACCATTCTCCTGCGAGTGTGTGAGTGCGGGGGTGCTGTTAACGGGTTTGATTGATGTGCTAATAGGCTATGACTCAGCACAAAGAGACACAAAGAGAGCAGAGATGAGCCAAGTGAGCCGCAGATTGCCTAGAACTAGACCACGGAACCATGGGCCCCGTGGATACAGATAGAACAGTGGGGTACATGGGAAGCTTTTAACTAGAAAATGAAAGAAAGCTATCTTTGGCAAGATGAAGTTTTTATACCCTTCCAAATCGTTTCTATAACGGTTTTTTGTATTCTCCGCTTATTAAAAAATTTAAAATATTTCCACAAATATAAAAAACTACATTTACATTTTTAGTTTAATTCAAAACTCTGAAACACAAAAAAAATATAATATGGGACAACAATTTTATATATATATAATAATTATACCTGAGTATCAACGTGTAGCGTGTATTTTCTCTAGTTTTTTCATATTATTTTCACAAGAATACTCCTTTCACTCCCATAGAAGTTTGTTGTTTATTTTCTGAATATTCCTATGGGAGCTATTGGATAAAGTTTTTCTTCAATAGAACCTAACTTGCGTCGAAGCGGACAGACGCACATGGCTAGATCAACTCGTCTCTTAATGCTGATCATAATATATACACATACTTTATAGAATTGGAAATGTCTGCTTCACAAACTCCTTTGGCAAACTTCTGACTGAAATTATAAACCCTGTGCAAGGGTATAAAAAGCCAAAGCAAACGACAGCTATAATTACCTGAAAAGTGTATTTTTACAATAGGTAAATTATTTTCTTGGTGATTGAAATCTATTGATAAATAGATTTTTTGAGGAACGGAGTAAAAATCTAAGTTTTAGAATCTTCATTCAACTGCTCAAAAGAGTAACAGTGTAAATTCGAATCAAAAAGGAAACATTTTTTCAAAACAAAGGGTACACTTTTTAAACACCCTATCTTCCTATAATTTCATACTTTTATTGTGTTCAATGTGTTTCATCACAAAGATAGTTCCATCGTACGCAAATAAAGGATTTGACTCACTCAAAGACAAGGAGCAATGACAAAAACGAGGGGATTACGTTAAGATGACGCATGTGTACAGAAGGTGATCTTGTTTCCCCATCGCCTTAATCATCGTAATGACTTCGAAGAAAATTCACATCCATTCATTGACTTACGCGACATGTTTCACAGTGAATGCCCCCTAAACGCACTTACTCGACAGCTACTAGAAACCGACTAAACTGGAAGTTCTGTGCGTGAAAGCGACTTAAGTAAGCATTCAGTTCCACAGACAGAGACGTCAGCATGACACTGCTTAAAAATGTTTAATATCATTGACTTTCTGTAAATCCAAAGTCCGAATCATTTTCAATTTCCCGCGGGCGTTTTTGAGGGGCCTACTATATAATCGATTTGCCGTCCAGACAAGCCATGCAAATGCGGTTAAAGCCACCTGACCTGCACACCTTTGGATTTCGGCACGGCGACTTCGTTCCGATTCGAATTCATTTCAATTCATTTACCTGTTGCCTTTGGTTTATGGCCGGCGCCAAGCACAAACTGGCACCGATTTCAAACCTAACTGGCGTCTCAAGTTCTTCCAAACAAACTGTAAAAAAATAGTAGCTTGTGAAGAAAAAACCTACACATAAATTAGCAGACGGCGCCATGGTAGTACCAAAACGCGAAGCGTTAAGAAACTCGTTATTTGAGTGGTCAAAATATGAAAAAGAAAACACAAAACAAACGCTCAACTATGTAGAAAGGTCAAGGACTTTTTGCTTCTATTAATGAACTGAAATTTCTGTTTTTTTTGTAAGCCAAGTACAGGTCACAACAACTGATAAAATGGTTCGCCTAATCAGGATGATAGGCGAATATCAGTTGTGAAATTGATACTAAGTTGGGGGTACATATATAACGAACTGATTGATCTGTGTAAACAATAAGCGCCTAAATGCTCACCACACTTGTCACACCTGATAAGCGACCACAACATGGTAAACACTTGATTACAAAACGACGCTTCTTATCGGAGCATGCCGCGTACAAATGTTCGGCGACCTGATAACTTTCAGTCAACCCCACTGAGGAAAAAATACATAGGTCCAAAAAAAATAATTAATAGTTTGCCTCTTGCTATTCTTTTTTTAGTTGCTTTGGTTTTAATAACTGTGGTTTGAGGATATATTTTAGAACTTCATTTAATACTAATTTTCTTCGTTTGGTTAAACTCTTTTTTACAGTGTGCTGCATTTGTTTTCTTTCTTGGCTTGTTTCGGGTCCCTGTGAATCGGGTTGGTTTAGTTGGGATTACTTACGGCCAAGTGCCACTACGCCTGCGTCGAGTCGTGGAATCAAAGTAGCCGTCATCGGGATCTTCCTCGGATTTGGCCAAGGGGCATTCCTGGCCGGTGGCCGGGCTTTCACTGGTCACGGTTTGATCCTTTGTCTTAGTGCTCGCCACATTGGCCTTGTGCTGGATTATTCTCTGGCGCTTCAGGGAGGCATTGTGTCGAACGAGGAGATCATTGTACTGGGTCTGCTGGTGGGCAGTGCCACTCCAAGCCAGCTTATAGCTAAAGCGCTCCTCCAGACGATGCTGGTGCAGGGTGGCCAAGTCAATGTCCGACAGGCACGTCATATTCAAGTCTTATGATTACCAAGTATCACTCAAAAGTTCGCAGGAGATTCGTACTGTTAGAACATTTTTCCACTGAAATTGGGTTGGGAAATTTAGCTACACATTTCGCTTGGCATTTCTTGGCCGTTGGGTGGGACCCTTCACCCTTGAAACGGCCCTGATTCGATCAAATAATAAATAACATTAACCTTGCTCCCTTTTGCCAGAGGTGTTAACTGAGTTAACAATTTTGGTAACAAAAGAATGCAGTACATTTTTGTGGGATATAAAAAGGTAACTGCTTTGGCGCGTGGAAAAAGTTGATAAACAAAAACGATCAGTTTTGGATTTCGTATATGAACAGGTTTTGGTTTCTCTTGAAATTTGTGCAAAATAAATTTGTTATTAGCAATCAAATAGTTTGTTATGGTCGTTTTTTTTCTGGCCAACCTAACGGGCCAGAAACGTAGTTCCGGCTTTGACGCAAGACTATCAAAAATGGAGGGGATTGCGACGGCTAGAAAGGAGCGGGACAAGGCCTAATATGCGTCATTAGCCAGCTTCCCTCGGCGGGGGTTGCGGCGTCGGACTTGGCCAACTTTTATCGCCTGCTTAGCCACATAACGATGTCAAGTATAAATCAATTGGCAAGAAATCCGACGGCAACGCTGCACGAAAAAACAACTTGAACGTACTAAACAACCACAGTTAGCTTTATAACGAGAAATATAAAATGATTTTTTTTCGTGATTGCCCGACACAAAGGTCAACAACCTTTTAATCAGCCAAAAACAAAAAATCCGAAAGCATCCACTCAAACCACAATTAAACAGTCTTCTCTGCAGCTCTTTCAGAAAGCAGCCCACTTGGGCATAACAGTATCGCCATCCATTAATCTAGAAATCGTGACCAGTGTGCGTAATGAGCTTGAAGATCTCAGTCATTTCGGTTTCTTTCGTAAAGTGCCCAATCTACAGTTCATTACCAGAGGTCGCTCCAAGATTCTGTTGAGTGGTGATAGGAGGGGCAACTTAACAGAAAGGGGAAGTATCTGTATAGGTCTTTATAAGTTTGTGGAACTACAATCTTGTTTGAATTACAATGGAAGTGTTTCCATTCATAGTTACGGGAAAATACAAACTAAGTGGAAAACATATCGAAAAGTATTATTGTAATAGAAAAGGCTTTTCGAAGAGTCAGCACCAAACCCATTTCGAATACATACAAAAATATTATTTGAAGGGCGTATTTTCTTGCTTTACAACAATCTAATAATCTCTGAATCACTTCTCGCGGAAAATATTTGGATTTAGCACTCGTTACATTTGAGTGATTCCATTTGGAATTCTAATTAATACGTTGCATAACCAAAAACATTGCATCGCGTGATCCAAAGCCTTTCCTCTCTGCTATTTTACCGAGATCAGGAAGCAACAAGTACAAGTCATTGAAAACGTGTCTGTAAAATAAACAAAGGAAGGCAAAAGCCACCACCCCCTCGTATTCGCCGGTTACATCCGTAATAATCGGACTATGACAATAGACGAGAACATAAAGCGAATTATAAACGACTTATGGGCACAAAGAAAATTTAAGTAAATAAGCGACAGGCACAAATTAATTAATCAATAAACGGACGAGCTTAGCAGCGAAATGCGCAGTGGCATCAACTAAGTTTAGTGATTATCATTGAATGGATCAGAAAGTGGACGGGGAACTGCACCTACGGATCAGTGGACCCATCTGGCCACAACGTGCCTACATGTTAGCGTTGGCAATGATATATAATTCAAATGGCGCCCTACGTATACAATTCGCAAATAGGTATTATACATGCAACTGTAGGTATTGCCCTTGAACTTTTCTTGTAAGTGTGCAACCTTTGTTTGTTATTAAAGTCTACTTAGATGATAGGTTATTATTTTTAGTAGATGCAATTAAATAAAAGCATCTTATCCTTTGAACTTTAATTCAAAAAACAGTTTTTAGTTGGGTGTATTTTTAAGTTACTGCATGATTAACAATAAAGTGATGATTATAATTTCTTTAAGGAATGAAATGTATCTCACTTTATATTCTAATATAAACATTTTGAATTATGAATTGCGCAGCGCATTAAGTATATACATTTTCATTTATAGACTTGTGTGTACAAACTTTGAACTGCAAAGCACACACGCAAATTAGTTTACATAAGCAATTAACCCCTCGGTGACTTATCTTTTATAGGTTAACACAAACCTTAAATATTGGTTTTTTAAGTGAGTCAAAGAATAAGTCAGAGAAATAAGTTCAAAACTAGTGGGTACTCTTTATAATGTATACAGTTCGAGTTATAGATAAGAGTTTAGTTAAGTCAACTTGATGAATAAATGTTAAAAGGGAAATATTGACGTGAGCTAAGACTAAACTTTTAAATGAAACTTCCGATTTTTAAATGACCTTAAATTCCCAAGTGCGAGCTTATTTTTGTAGGGAAACCTTTAGAAAAGTCCTACTAAAGATCGACAATAGACTGACGGATCGATAGCCAGCTGACTGACCATAGAAGGAAATCGAAAGTGGGCTGGAGCCCAGACCCCAGACCCCAGAAATGCCAAGTCATGTCTGCGCTAGAAAATGTTAGCCAGTGGCTGGCAACAAAGTACTCTAATTACACGTTATATAATTTGTTTTATTTTCTTTTTAGCACAAGCGCGAGCCAAGGCGAGGCTTGATCTCTCCGGGGCTTTAAACTGACCAGCGATCGGCGGTAAGCGGCAGGTAAACGACCGAAGTGATCGACGGCGGCTCAGGTGAGGCAAAGGTGCGGCAGAGAGCGAACACGACCGAGCTGTCCGGTGAGCATGCGATAACTGAGCTGGGACGCCAAAAAGGTGATTAAATTGGACGATTTGTGCGCGATTCCGATTCGAAAATAAAGTACGCGGGCCGAGCGGTTGTAAACAATGAACGGCGATCGTTTGGCGGGTTTTCGCCGGACATCGCTGGCACAAAACAGCTGAGCGCAGCCACGCGCCGTGGTCGAAGAGCTGAGAAGGCAACAGGTGCTCTCTCTGTTATGTAAACGCAGTGAGCGGATAGTGGCTGTTTTATAGCTGATATTGAATTCCACAAAAACATGATTGATAAACTGAATCCGCCTAATAGCCAAGCATAAGTCCATAAATCAATTCATGGCGCCATTAACACAGTATTAGAAGCCAGCGCACCATGGGAAATTTTAACCACTTTTTCTGGCAGAAAACCCATTTTTAAATAGTCGTTAAAACAAGTGTGTTTTCTGGGATACTTTAACAGAGGACCAATCTGCAATGTAACGATCAAGAAAATTTGATAGAGTGCGCTCTTGCATCGATAAGTTTCATTCTCGGCCTTTAGAAATTCGACGAAAGGCAGAAACTTTTAAAATTGCAAAAAGGAAAAGAAGAAAAGAAAGAAAAGAAGAAGAAAAGAAGCACTCTAAGTGGAGTTTTTGGAATGAATTCAAAGGATGGTGATGTGTATGTGTAAACATTCTAAATTAATCGTGTTGTTCTTGTAATCGAGAGTTAAAGTGAGCTGTCTAATACGAATATTTTTTTCAAAAACTAATTTTTAAGTTGAGGCACAACCGAGTTCAGCGGAGTCCACTTCTGAAAACTATTGGGATTTAAAGAGAAAGAAATTCTTGGTAAAATGAATGTAGTTAGGAAACAACTTTTTACGATTCTTGGAGAAATTTAATTTTTTAGATCCTAACCTCTAATTTAGAAAAATTCCATTTACTTGCACTTTGTACTAAAGATATGAAGCAGATTTTTATTTAGAATGTTTATTAGGGTAAGGAGATAATACCTACCATTGGCCAATTAAACCGGACTTTAGTAGTTCTAAAAGGAAAGTGTTGCTTTACTTTAACAAGAAACGATAGAATTGTGAAATACGTTCTAAAACTATAAGCAATGTTCTCTTGATTTATTCCAAATCCATTTTTACCCCAACTGGGCCTTTTAACACTCTGTAAACTGAAACTTTCAAAGTTGATAAAATCTAAACTATAAAAGAGAAGCTCTAATGAATGAAAGTACACGTGAGGAAAAATGTGCAATTTAGTGAAGGGAATCGATTTTTGTTGCCTACATCTGGCACATGTCACACATTAGTCACACGTGTTAACAGTAGTTCAATTTTGCCAGAGAAGTACTAAGAAACACAACATGTGTGGGCCACTTGTGAGCTAAGTATTTTGCGACCAGTTCTAATTGATTGCCAGCAATATTATAAGTGCTACATTTCCTTTGTTTTGCGCAACAGTGCAACCAGCTTTTAATAGGAACAACTTGAAAAATAATGAAGACTGCTTAGTTTAATCAGTCAATAGTTTGTAAGCTACTTATAGCTTCTAAAAATGTAATTAACATTTGGCAACTGTAATAAAAAATTCCCCTGCCTTTGACAGAGGTTAATTAAGTGTTTGTTGCCATTATTTAAAAATAAAAATTCACACTTTCTAAAAAAAAACCTATTTTGTGGCGTTTCTTTTTTAGAATATATCAATTGTACATGTATATGAATTTGCCCAGTTTATTTTGGAAACAGGTTGCCAAGAAGCAAAATCTAGCGGGAAACCAAAACAAGTGCTGGCACCACTGTGCCGCCCACTTACCACCACCATCGCATCTGGAGGTCATCGCTGGCAGTGCCGTTACTTAAGCCAGGACCCGGTGCCGAGGATGCTGCAGCGCTCCCCTGGCGCCCACTGTTCACATGGAGCAGCTGATTGTCGTGGTCGTCGTAGTATGATCCCTTGGAACTGGAGGACCCCGTGGAGGAGCCGGTGGCCTTCGGAACCGTTTGGGCGGGCGAGGGGGTGGTGTTGCTGTAGGAGGACGTCATTGTGTTGACCACTCGTGTGTGTGCTTGCGTGTGCCTGCGCACCTGTGTGTGCGCGAGTGTGAGTGTTGCGTTGGCCTCAGTTTGACCCACTAACGCGATGCACCTGTCGACGACTCCCACTTCTAATTGACAACTGCCCGGTTCAGAGCCAGCGCTATTTAGCTGCTGTTTTGCGATTTCGAGCACGCCAGTTCCAATGGGTTCATGTTATTTGTTTTTTTCCTGCACTATTTCCCGTCAGTATGACCGTTGCGCGCGGATGAGAAAATACTCTAACCCCTAGTTGAAACAGAAGGTTACCAATTCTGGTTACGGTCACACTAGGCGCGAAATTTATTTTTTTAAAAACAGGACCTGTACAGGTACCATTAAATAAGCAAAAAATCTCAAAACCCCTAAAACATAGGAAAAAGTATGTAAAATCCAACGGTTGTAAGGTGGAAAAGCCAAACTATTTATTTTTCCAAGCACTAAAATTTATTACAGTAGATTTCACTTCATTGTGGCCTACAAATTCAAAAATGTAGGAAGCCACGTTCTTAGCTTAAAATCTAAGGTTATAAATAATACTTCCCCAGATCTTGCTGCTTTTTTTCACATAGATTCTAGAAAAATTAAAGCTTTTTGCCATAGCACCTAGCCCCAAAGCGGGGTTAGTACTAAAATTTTAAGATGAAAGATCCAACGATAGTTCCTCTAAACTTACCGAAACTGAGTGCGTTTTTCCAGTAAAGTAATGGGCAGCGCCTTTCTCAACGGTGCTGGCGAACTTCCAGGCGTTGAGGCCTCTTCATCGACGATTTCCCGCGCCCGCTGCATATCTTCGGGATTCATTTCGAATAAGTTCACCTCCCAACACAATTAAGCACAATTAAATCACAACCGTTCGCTGGCAACGCTCGGCATCAACTACGGCCAGATTTTATGCAATTCTCACGACCAGATAGGCACGCACCGCACACCTGCCGCACGCACACGCAAAAAACAGCGCACACCTTGAATTCGGCGTGCAAAAAAGGCGAAAACACGATCGAGCGAACGAACAATGGCACAAGATTTTAGCCGTGTAATGAACATAGCTTGTACGCCTGAGGGCGCAAACATCTGGCAAACATGAAGCCTTAGCTTCGGATATAGCAACACTTTCGATTCGCACCCAAATCGATGCAAACTAATTTTTTTGACAGGCCCAAGTGCGTGGCAACCACGTGAACCCAATCCAATCCAAAGACAGCTGCGAGGTGAACAACATGCAACAAGTGGCCTGGGAGAGGCGCTCTAAAACCAGTCTAAATAATCTATATTGCAAGGTGTGTTTGGACTAGACTAATGTGAAATATACAAGGCAATGTTGGAGAACACATTTCAATCAGTTTGCAATCAGCATTAATCTACAGACAATGTTTCTAAACTATTATCAAGCTAAATTTGGCAGTGGATAAAACATTTGATCCGTTTGCATTTACAAGCTGAAATTAAGTACAATTAATATTCTACAATTGTTTATTTTTATTTAATTAAATATTTTTCTACTGAAACAATTTTAGTTAATAACTGGGGTTTTCAGATTCTAGGTTTGCATAAGCCATTTATTGGTTTTAACTAACAGCATTTTTATTTATCTAGGAGACATGTAAAATATTTTAGTATTGCTTAATAATCTATACCCTTCTTAAATGGATTTTGATTACAAAGAGTATAAACTATAAAAGTTTTCTTAAACCTTTGGCGAAATGTGCTTAATTAATTTTTTCGAAACAGATACTTCCAAAATACTCAAAACTTAAGCACTAAATAAAAAGCAAAGAGCTAAGACTACTACTGAAAGCCCTAACCTACGGTTACGACTAGCAAATAGGACTTACGCACTACACATCATACAATTTCATATTCTCGATCTCGTCCAGCGTGTCCTCGGATCCGGAAGCGGTGAGATCCGACAGCTCGTCGAGGCACTTCTGCCGCTTACGCACATTCCAGTGTAGTCCGTCGGCGAGAGAGGCGAACCAGTCGGATATCTGATCCTGAGCACAGATGCAGGGCACGGGATATATGGAGGTGGTCACGCGGAGGCTGTCACCATGGAAGAGCTCCTGCCTATTGCGTCCATCGAAGCTAACCCACGATGTGTTGCGACTTTCGGGGGATACTGATATCTACAAAATAAATGCTGGTTAGTAGAGGATCTGTTATGTACGATTTATAGGTAACCCACCTTCAGCTCCACCCCTGCTGGCACCACAATGGGTCGGAAGCTCAGCGAATGCGGGCAAATGGGAGTCACCATGATGGCCGGCACGGAGGGATGAATCATGGAGGCACCGGCGGCTGCCGCATAAGCCGTGCTTCCCGTGGGCGTCGACACAATCAGGCCATCGCCCTGCACCGACGTGATGTACTTGCCGTCCAGGAACAAGTCAATATTGCTAAGATACGGCGAGGGACCCCGATCAATCACCACTTCGTTAAGCACCAGGATGCTGTTGGCCGCAGGTCGGGCATCTCCATCGGGGTCCACCTCCTGAGTCTTTTCCTCATGCTTTCTATCGCTCCTGCGATGCATCACACAGCGAAGACGACTGCGAAGGGTTAATGCAGCGTGTCCCTCTAGGACACTTGTAAGCTGCTCCTCGAAGTTGTCGAAGCGGAAGGGCGTCAGGAATCCCAGGGACCCCAAATGGAAGGCCATGACGGGAGGCACAGATTGCTGGAAAAGCAGGGAGGCATACAGTAGTGTACCATCGCCTCCAAGACAGACTATGAAGTCTATACGGTCGGTCAGGTCATCGCGGCCATCTCTGAGGAAGTATGAGGGTTATGAATGTATTTAAGCCTTTTTTGGAGAACACACTCACTTGAAAGTGATAAGCTTATCGCGAATGGCCTTGAACCGAACATTTTCGTTGAGCTGTGCATCTTCCAACACAGCTGACTCCACCCAGACCACCATATGCTTCTCCTGCAGCAGCCAGTCCACCAGTTGGACAAACGGCGCCAGCACCGAGGCATCGCTGACCTTCTTGATCACCAGAACAGTGAGAGGCGGCTTGTACCAGGTAAGACGCTGGCTGGCCGGATCCTGGATTTGCATCACCATTGCTGAGTTTTTCATTATGCGTCCACATGGTCCGAATTGCTGGACAGGCGAAGGGGCATTTAAACTGCGAGTACGCCTGGAAAAGAAAGGCAAAACGAACAATATTAACAAGGATATAAACATGTATTTATGTCTTTCAAGACCTTAGTAGATGACGTTTGTTTTGCGCCCTTGGAGGTGTCTCCTCTTGAATGCAGTTGTTATTGCAATCATTTAAATCCTCCCACTTGACATTATTGAACTCTTCGATACTCAGGGAGCTTTGAAGTGGAAACAAGGCAACCGCCTGCGGTTGATAAGGACGCATGGGAAACATTTTTCAAACTTTGTATTACAATTTCAGAGGTCTCAGAAAACGGATCGGGTTTTCGCTGCTTTTTCAAGTTACAAGCTAACTTTAACTGTAAAGCAACCTTATGCAAATGGCGACAGTAAAAGCAGACAGAAACAACAGACAAATAAGTGAGATGGTATGGGATTCAAAAGAATCGCATTGGAGATTCTCCTTCCTGCTTGCTTTCGTAAACTCACTGAGACAAGTTTTTCCTGTTGACTAAAAAATATACACTACAGTCGAAATATTTTTATAAACACCACTGAAATCAAAGAACCCCTTTTCAGAATATTTACCATATTAAAAAATATTTCGAAAAAACCAACTTAATCTACCCATAATTTGAACTTATTTCATGTGCATGTCGGCACAATGGAGGGTTATTTATTTTATGTTTAAAGAATGCACATACAAAAAGTTTCCATAACTTTGTATATATCACTATTTATTTCTATCACTATAGCAAAAACATTAATCCAAAAAAACTTTTTTTTTCATATCTTTTATGACTTTTAGTATTACTTAAACCATACATATCCATTGGTGCCAAAATTTAAATGAAGTATGTGGTTTTAAACTATAAGTAGAATAAACTATACATTTCAGCGCTAGGTCGAGTGCCTCGACTACCATATTCCCGTTACTCAGCTGACCAACTTAACTTATTAGTTGTCCTATGAAATATTGGGTCAAATGCATTTGATTGAAAGAGTTCTCTTTGTTGTTTACAGGCTCTGACGTCATGGCTAATCTGATTGCAAAATCCAAACTTTCTAACTTAAGTTTCCGAGAAGTCAGTGTTCATACGGACAGACTAACACGGCTAGATTCACTCTCTGAGTGACTCTACGAATGACTGGTATAGTCAAAATAGTTATGCCCAACCTGGTATTCTTAGTAACAAGTCTTTATCTGGGGTGTCACTGAAATCTCTCCATTTTGTGTTGATGGGACTAAGGACTCTAACCAAGTTTGGTTGATAGAGAATGGTATGCAACAGTCGTTTGGAGTTGAATGGAAACCCTGGCTGCAGACCATATTTTTTCCTGTGCACTTCTTGCGCCATCGTGCAACTGATTTGGATTACAAATTCCAGCTCTTCGCATGCAATCTTATCGCTACTAGAACATTTTCAGCTGTTTGTCCACTTACGGCCAGGTGCCGGATCGTTTGCGTTTCCCACCTGACGCCGATCCGTTGCCATTGGCATTATCTCGGGACCGGCCCCGCTCCAGACAGTTCCCGTTCACGTCCCGCTGCACCTTCCTCTGCATATTTCGCTCTAGACAAAGTCGGGTCATGGGACTCAATCCGTCGGGATGGTGATGGTATCCATGCTGGATGTTGGGCAATCCGTAGTGCCAGCGCTGCTCCAAACGGTTCTCGTGCAATGTGGCTAAATCAATGTCCGACAAGCAGGCCATACTGCCTGCAGCGCCGCTTTTCGGGCTCCAAATCGCTGGCAAACTAGTCAAAATTTATCTTTGGGCCACAGTTTCGAACACTTTGATTTTTGGAATGCAGTCAGACAGCATTGTTTTGGCCAGCGAAAAAGGGACCAAGGTTAGTTTTGTTTTCACAACAAATTTTCGTTTTAAAAATAACACGCCCACGCACTTGTGATCGACGATCCAACAAAATATAGGTCCAAAAATGTGCCAGCAGTAAAAGAGAAAGTGTTTTATGAGCGAAGGAGGACAAAAACTGGTAGTTAGAAATGCATTAAGCCGAAGGTGTGCCTAGGGAAATGTCTCTCTTGTGTTGACTTTTTGTAAAGGCAGGGACAGTTTTCCAACGAGTTTCCACTTAATTACTACGCACAGCTGGCCGGAAAATTGGAGGCAATAAACGACGGAGGGCCCTGAAAGTGTCAACCGGGCGATCGCGTGTGCGAGCAACAACTGAGCAGCCGAGTTGACAAGGTTGGTCCGAACCGATCTGGGTTTTTTACTCTTCGCCATTAACAGTTCCCCGTTTCCAAATTCATATAGCTATTGCAGAGCGCAGGCGTAGAGGCCTTGGCGCTCAATTAACAGTTCAATTGATGACATAGAAGATATCAAAACGAATCAATTGTTAAACTGAAGCACTTCGTGGATCCATGTCTAGACCAAAAGCGTGTTTTGATTTCATTCTTTTGAGTTGAATAAACAAAACCATTTTACTGAGAGTTCGGGTTCAAGATGGTTCATTAAACTTCGAGAAAAAAGAGGCGTAGCATGTGTCAGCGACAACATCTATGGTTAGTTTGTCGTGAGGTGTGCTGTTATAATAAAATGTACTTAAAATTCATAGTGATGCAAAGAATAGTTATGGTATCCAGTTGTATCACAAGGTAGAATTCAAATTATTATTCAGGATATCACCTGTATAGCGTATTAAAAATCCAATTAAAATTTGTTAATGATATAAATAAATTGGAGTAACGCAATCAATGAAACAATCTTCATTTTAACTCCCAAATAATACGAATAAATTTGTTTTAAATCAACAAGGACCTATTCTTGTGTCCACCACTGTAGTTGCATGAGAGATGGGAGTCCGATAAGAGATGCCAAACTGCATGATTACAGGTCGGACAGGTGATTAGGACCTACCACCACCAGCTGCTGAGGCCGTCTCCCAGTCCCGGAGCCGAGGTGGATGCAGTGGCTCCATCAGCCGCTCCAGGGGCATGCAACAGATGCCCTCCATCAGAAGCGGCGTCCCTTTCCTTGCAGAAAAAAGCCTGGTTTTCCGAGGTGTTGCTGTCCACCGGCGCGGGCATTTTTCTATTTCGGCTCTAGATTCTCGGTGAGATCAGGGTCACGGCTGTGCCCTTTCGGCGGTAATCCGGGCCTCCAGTTGTTATTTTTTGCAGCACACCGCACGGATATGTATTTATCGAATTTTTATAATGCAAAACCTGCGCAAAGTGTTGTTGCTATAAATGTCAACGAATCCAATAAATCATCGATAGTATCGATGTTTCGGCCTATCGTGGAAGAATGGCGCGTACTTTTAAAACCCAACAAACGGCTTCGTCACTCACAGCAGCATTCGTCATTCATAATTAATATGACAAAGGAACACATTTGGCATTGCAAATTAGTCAGGCACGTGAAAACATTGTTTATTTTCAGCCTAATTTGTACGTGATTTTGAATTCCTTTACATCACTAACAAAAAATGACTTGTTTATTTTAAGAACCACTTATAAACAATATACATATATATATTTGACGGAAAGCAACTGATGAAATAATACAATTCGTCTTAAATGTCGCTTCTGATATAAAAGAATTGACTGACCATATCACTAAATATAGTGGCATTGGGTTTTTTTAGAGTACTATCCTAAATGTATCCATCACATTTAAAAGCTATTCCTCGACTTTTCTTTGTAGTAGTGGGCTCTCTGAACCTTTTTCACTGAGCAAATACTCTTTTTGATATGTTAAACACAAACTCTTTCTACAATATTTCTATACTTTAATAGCCCTTCGTACTCACCTGAATTGTTTACGCCTCTCGCTCAAATCCAGGACTCTTCTCAAGGGTTTGGGTGAGTTTCCCGGCGATGTGGCTGCGGCTCCATCGTTTTCCTCCTCCAAGGAACTGGACACCGAATTATTTGCCACCATTTGGCGGGCGAGTTGCAAATCCTCCTCACGCATATTTTTAAGTTAGGGCCGAGACTCGATGTCAACCTCGTTGTTCCGGTGGCAAGATACAACTAAATGACTTTTCGAGCTTCGTTTTCCAAAATATATACAATGCATGCGCATATGTAATACCTGGCAGAGCTGTTCTCGCCCCACTCGTACTTTGAATTCATTAAGAGCCTCCCGATATTTACATTTCCAGAGCAACTTTTTCGAGCGGTCCATATTTTGACGGCCCCGGGGCGTGGCAGATCGGGGCTGAGATCGATTTATAAGCTATGCGTGGATTAATAGCCGGCGGCTCGTTCTTAATAATATATGTCTGAAGGTAGTGCCAAGAAAATAGGCCCATTTTTGCATTAACACCGATGCTTGGATTTTTAAGTGGACCTGCGAATTTGTTTGATACACTTTTTTCATTTAAATATTCCTTTTGTCCATTTTATATAAGAAATATTTTGTTATTTTAAAATTCTGCTTATGACCAAGGTGAGTTCTTATGGGTGCAGACTTACTGCATCGGTAGGGACTCCACACATTACTTTCAAAAAAGTCGTTATTTTCATTACGTTACTTCCGGGTTAATAATTTTCACATCTTTTTTTGCGTTTTGTGTGCGAGTGTCAAGTTTTAAGTTTTGTAAGAAGAGAAAAATAGAGGGGCAACGCTTTTTGAAATTATTTTTTGATTTCTTATTTACATATTTATTTGCTCCCAATGATTCTTGTTTCACAGATGCCAGTGGGTTGTCCCCAATTCAATTTTGAACTTGAATTGTTGCATTCCTTTTAGCCAAAGGAGTTTGTTTTTTGTTTACCTCCTTTTTAATAAAAGTCTTAAATTGTATATTTTTCACAGTTAAGAAGTAATTTAATTAATCTAAATTTAAGCAGTGTTTAGATCGGTAGTTTTTAATATTTCTCACTAACAAAAAAGAGACTTGTTCTTTTAAGCCAATATTAGGTTTTACATTTTCTTATGACATCACATGAATTTACAAATTTTTTTACACTTGACATTGTATGATTTCCATTGTTGCCAACTATTTTACAGTAATTTAAAGCACTGATAATACTCGGTTATTTGTATAATTACCTAGTTTCTTCTTATTTCAGTTATTTATTTTCTGCCTTAATAAATCAATATAAACATCGAGAGAAATTATCATAAACATTTTTGAACTCGGATTTACGCGCAACTTCGTTAAGTACAAATAATCGACGACTGCCGTCTCTAATTTCTGTCAGCATCGATAGTATCGAATAAACATCGATTGAGGTTCCAGCTCTACAGCCGACGATTTTACGTCAAAAGCGAATAAGTTTAATAAACGTAAAAAAAAGCGAACCACAATGTCAGCGAAGGCAGCATTACCCCTGCAGATGTTTGGCCGGCGTCTCGTCCAGCTGAGGTCATCGGTCACGGCCCAGAACGTGAGGTAAGTCCGGTGCCATTGCTTCCTCTTTTCTGTGACGTAATGAGGGCGCACGCTTGTCGGCAACTGCACGTAATTCTAACATGCCCCCTTCCACAGCGCCCTTCGTCTGTCCCACCAGCGCCTGTACAGCACAGAAAAGCAGCCAGAGGAGGCGGCGGCAGGAGCGGCGGAGCAGAAGACGCCCGCAACCCCGCCAGAAGTGGAGAAGCTCACCAAGGAGCTGGCCGCCGCCAAGGAACAGAACGCCGAGCTCCTCGACAAGTACAAGCGATCCCTCGCCGACAGCGAAAACATGCGCAACCGACTGAACAAGCAGATCAGCGACGCCAAGATCTTCGGCATCCAGAGCTTCTGCAAGGACCTGCTCGAGGTGGCGGACACCCTGGGACATGCCACGCAGGCGGTGCCCAAGGATAAGGTAGAATTCGTTCATCTATGGGGCTACTTTCGCAATGATTTCATTGTCTTAAGATGGAGTACATGTGCTTCACAGATATAAAATGGCAAGAGGCCATCGAGGTTGAGATCAACTCAAAGATTCCTATACAAATTTTTTTTTCGACTGTATTCTTTTTTTTCTGGGACTTGTGCAGATTAAACTCCCTTTGTTTTTATCATATCTGACACATATTTAAAATTAAAAATGTATTCTTCTAGGTTAAGGCAATCCAGATAGTTCCTATGTGAAGTCCCATCTTTCAGTCAATTATTTCCTATATTAGACTTTAATTAAAGATACCATACAAATGGAGAACTCTAAGTTAAATCTATAATATTTCGATTTTAAAATAATGATATTACACAATTTTCTAATAACGATTACAATTTAGTGTCTCTAAACAATTAAAATTTTTCGATGCCGTTGGCGGTAATAAGGTTATAATATAATATTGTAATCGAATTTAATACTAACATATAATGTAACTGCATTTCCATAAATGTTATAATCTAAATCAAAAATATTTTTACAGCTCAGCGGCAACGCTGATTTGAAGAACCTGTACGAGGGCCTAACCATGACACGCGCCTCGCTGCTGCAAGTGTTCAAGCGACATGGTCTGGAACCGCTGGACCCCATCAACCAGAAGTTCGACCCCAACCAGCACGAGGCTCTGTTCCAGAAGGAGGACAAGACCGTCGAGGCCAACACCGTGGTGGAGGTCACCAAGCTGGGCTACAAACTTCATGAGCGTTGCATACGACCCGCCTTGGTGGGCGTGTCCAAGTGTTGATAGACAAGTGGCTGCCCAGAGGAGTGCGAAATTCCCGGTCCCCCAATTCCCCAAAAGCAACCTCCCATTTACATGGTGTCGCCCTCAGTTGTTTGCAATTTGTTTTCTGCTGCAAAATTCATGTATGTATACCCCGTGTAAATACAACCTATCCTCAAATGCATCCTTCGGGCAGCGCTTGCGAATTTAAAATTCCTCCTAGTTTCTAAGAAATGTGACTGGATTTGATGGCTACAATTTTTACCACAAGCGTTGCCATCAAGTGTTCCAATTTAAGGTTTAATTACGATAATAAAAACGTGTTAGTTTGTTGAAATACAGTGCAGTTTCCTTTGGATTTTGGAACCTCTGTTAATCTTGTTTGTCTAGGTCTCCTTCTGCTCTCTTTGATTTTCCCGTTTTCGTTCGCCTGAGAAATATGAAACCCTCTTGTTAAACCATTTCTTTTGTCAACAAAATCCAGGTAGCCAAGGGAATTCACATTCCTGCTCTTCGCGTGGGTGGGAAATTCAATGGAAAAGCGAGTTTTCAATGCCCCAGCAGGTAGGCTTGCCAGCACGTTCCCAAGAATTCAGAGAAATCCCAGATGGTGGTTGAGATTTTTTCCCGAGATCAAAGTCTTTTTCGAAAGGTTTTTCAGCTGCCGTGGTTAGTTGTCCTTAAACATTTGAAGTGAACGGAATGATTGGTGTGTTTATGCGTTTTCTCTGGTCCTTGGCCATGATGCAGTGTATCCAGGCTAGAGTTGCGATGCGACCTCTTTTCTACGGGCAGGACAGTGCTATCATAGTGGACATCAATAGAAAGTTTCCACCCAGGTTGGACTCCAAGCTACAAAACGCCCTGTACTACAACATGCCGGTTTACAAGCTGATTAAACCCAATTTACCCACGACCACGACAACCACAACCACAGCTGCTCCAAGTTCGGACTATCCCGCTGATCTTGTGGACATAGCACACAAAAAGTTGGGCCTGAAAAGCCTGCCGAGCATTGAGGAGCTGGGCGAAATGATTGGCACTGATAATGTCAGGGAAACCATCGACTATGTACGCACCCTGGCCGGTTCTGACGAGGGTCTAGCGCTGATGAAACAATATCTGGACACTTTGAACTTCGAGCAGGTTGAGGAGAATGTGGCGGAGGCGACGGAGAAGACTGAGGACGACGATGACGATGAAAACACCATGGACAATGCCAGTTATTACGATATGCCCCAGGAAAAGCCTACAACCATAGCGCCCACCCCTGAACTAAGCCTTATGCAGCGCCTCGGTGACTTTATGGACCAGTATATTCCCTGGTCAGGTCAGGTCACCACTTCTGCGACTCCTCAGGTCACGGCTCAGCCATCTGGGTCGTTCCAGCCCGTTTTTGTGGCTCCTCCCGCGAGCATGAAACCATTGCGTCCTATCCTGGTCAGGCAACCGCTTCCGTATCACTACCCCATTCCCCTGCGGCCTGTTGCGTTGCCCACACCAGCACCCAAGCCGCACCTCAACACTCCCCGGCTGCCGGAGGATGCAGAGTTCAAGTACTCTGCCTTGCCTCCGCACATCCAGCAGCTCGCCAAGGTGGCCAATATTCCGCCCCAGGTCGTGGAACGCTTCCTGGAGCAGCAGCCTAAGCTGGCGGAACTGGCCAAGCGGCTGAGTAACCTGGCACTCAGTCCTGAACAAACCCAGGCCATGAACTCCCAGGTGCTGAAGGCCGTCCAGAACGCCCTGACCAAGAACGACGATCTTCAGCGGCTCATTGAGGCGTCCAAGGCACTTAAGTAGCCCAAATATGTAACTAGTCCTAACACCATTTCAAAGAAAATAAATTTCCACCAAACAAACTAAATACAATTTCTTATTTTGGACATTTTTTTTAAGAATGATTAATTTAAAAAGTAAGGGTAAATTATACTTAAACATAATCAACTTTAGGATCAAGAGAATGGCACATTTTGTATGAAATATTTTGGTGGTGGCGCAGAAAAGAATAAATATGAATTATTTTAAACTTCAAGCCAATAAAGGAATCTCTATACAGATATATTCCTATAAATCTTTATTTCATTTATTACAAATGCCATGTGTACCCCCAAAGGCTCTGAATTCTAAAGCTGTGGCAAGTACCTCAAACCGCGGAGATTTTATCCGGATATGGGAGATAACACTACCAAATTCTTATGGCGTTTCTTGCATAACAGTAGCTACATATGTATATTGTATTTCCCTGCCACTGTTTAAATGTGGTTTCAAGGCCCAGAGCTCAAAATAATTCATACATATTTGTTCAACAATATAAATTAATGCAAAGCCAAAAATCAGCAAAGCATTTGGTATGATTGTCGATGGGTTTTTTTATGTCCTTAAAAATAGCACTCAATTACCCTGAAAAATGGGCAAGTAAGCGTGCATAGGACAACACCAGTGTTTTTGAAATGGAGAAAAAGATCTTGACGTAATTGTTTGACAATTTAAATGAAATGCAAAACCAAGGAGATAGTTGGGCATTTGGTAAGATTGTCGATGGGATTTCTATGTGTCCTTTAAAATAGCACTCAATTACCCTGAAACGTGGGCAAGTGAGCGTGCATAGGACAACACCAGTTTGATTGAAATGGAGGAAAAGATCCTAACGTGATTGTTTGACAATTTAAATGAAATGCAAAACCAAGAAGATAGTTGAACATTTGGTAAGATTGCCAATGGGGTTTTTATATGTCCTTAAAAATAGCACTCAATTACCCTGGAAAATGGGCAAGTGAGCGTGCATAGGACAACACGTGGTTCTAGAAAATAAGAGCTAAAAACTCCACGGAAATAAAATTGAATTCGATCGCAGCAAAGTGAAAAATCAATGTGACGTCAGCAGTGTGACCTTAAACGGAGACTATGATTATGCCTTTCCCTCAGAGTTGCCATCTCTACGGATCTCAAAAAAGGTTAGCTAGAAAAAAGCTAGAAGTAGCCAAAAATATTGCCAGAGATGCTAGCCAAAAACGCTTTATTTACTTAGACTTCCATTTTCGGAATTTGGCAAAAAAAAAACTAAAAGACGGTTTAAAGGAATCAAATTCGTTATTTAAGAAGTATAATTTTTGGAGGGCACTGACTGGCGAATTTAAAAGGAAAAGAAACAAATGAACAGAGCCCAGTTGGTAAATACTTGGCGTATCGAAGCTGCTGGTCTGCTGAACAGGGCGCTGTTATGTATTAACTAAACCTAACACGCCATCTACAACTACAAGAAAAAGATATGAAAAAAATGTGTGTGCGACATAAATGAATACAAAAAATCATAAAAGCTGAGTATATAGGGTTATATTATTAAATGACTTTGTCAGGAAAATGTATTGAAGGCCAACTTTAAAACCGTTAGCCGCGACACCAAACAATGCAATCGCGACCACCGAGGGCAAGACCCAAAATACCACATTGACTTTTGAAATACAATTTAGACTTCTAAAATATAATAACTGCGATTTTTGGGTGTGTGTCATGTTGCACCGTACCGCAAAATGCAGCAACTGTATCTAAAACTACAAAATGTTTCAGGTTATTTTTTCCGAAATTTTTTCCTGCTATTTTAGCGTTTTAAATTTAGCTTTTTGTAGCGTCTTCCCACAGAGATTCATCCACCATTTACCATCCTTTTTCCGTTTTCAAAATTTCCCAGTTACAGCGTGTTCCCACAGAGATCCATCCACCATCTACCAATCGTTGAACGGACGGTCCGTAGGGTTTTGCCGTTCCGAAAATTTTCCAGTTAGTTCCCCATCCAAATTTGACGGACTCTTTTATGCGATAGTAACAACGTCTTCCCACAGAGATCTATCCACCATCTACCATCCGTTGAACGGATGCTCCATAAGGTTTTGCCATTCCAAAAATGTTTCAGATAGTTCCCCTTCCAAATTTGACGGACTATTTTACGCGATAGTTAGGCGATGATTTTTCTGTGCAACTCTGAACTCTTCTTCTTGAAAGTGGAATTCAGTACAAAAACGTAAGCAATGACGACTTTTGAAAATGGAAGGCGCCGAAGCAATAAGTATATAAATGCTCTTTATATTTGTATTAATTCAATGTTTTTAATTTTACAGACGATAATACGCGAACCGCCGGTGGCAAGCTGAGGTGGACTATGCAGATGGAGCTACTGCTGATCGATATTTAGGAGGAGAACATCGAGCAGTTGCGGGGAGCCCGAAAAAATGTCCATGTATGTATACATGGAGATGGCCCAGACCCAGGCCCAAAAATGTTCCAGATAGTTCCCCTTCCAAATTTGACGAACTATTTTACGCGATAGTTAGGCGATGATTTTTCTGTGCAACTCTGAACTCTTCTTCTTGAAAGTGGAATTCAGTACAAAAACGTAAGCAATGACGACGGGAAACTTTTGAAAATGGAAGGCGCCGAAGCAATAAGTATATAAATGCTCTTTATATTTGTATTAATTCAATGTTTTTAATTTTACGGACGATAATACGCGAACCGCCGGTGGCAAGCTGAGGTGGACTATGCAGATGGAGCTACTGCTGATCGATATTTAGGAGGAGAACATCGAGCAGTTGCGGGGAGCCCGAAAAAATGTCCATGTATGTATACATGGAGATGGCCCAGACCTTAATGGAAGCTGGGTTTGATGTGTCCTACAAGGACGTCCGGACAAAAATAGAGAACCAGACCAAAAAGTGCAGGTAACTGCACCAACAACAACAACAAATTGGAAACGATATTATTCCTTGCAGGCAGAAAAAAATTAAAATTGGGCCAAGCGGAGTCGCTCCTTCCGCGTGGCAGCATTATGAGTTGCTCCACTCGCTTCTAGGCGCATACCGCATCCACAACATGGAGCAGAACACCGTGGAGAACGAGAGTATGTCCCCACACTTATATTTTTGGTTTAAAACAGCGGTCGGAAGCGGTCTATTAAGTGAGCATAGGGAATTGTTCTGCCCATCCGCTGCTCGCTCACGTATAACGTAGATGTTCGTATGACTTCGGCATGGGTCTTCGGGTCTTTTTTTTCTCAGCTTCGGCGCGCTTTTTTGCTGCTGCGGCAGAGATTCTCAGTGCAAAACAATGAAACGTCAGGCTTCAGCGCGCTGCGCGCCAACTTCGTGTTTTTTACACTCACACTAATGCAAGGTAAACTTGTGATGGTCTGTGTATGCCGACCGCTGGTTTAAAATGATCTATATAAAAATTTATTTATTGCAGATACTAGGGAATACTTTGTGGAGCTCTTGGATGTAGACCCAGATGACAGGGAGGCCTCTACCTGCAGCGGCAGTCAACGCTCAGGCAGCACTGCGCCCCCTGCTAAGCGCACAAAGGTGGACCACAAGTCGGAGCTTGTGGAGATAGCTCGAGAAAGACTGGAGGAGCAGAGAGCGCAGACAGAAATATTGTCGAGAATGGCAGACAGCCAAGCAAAATTCCAATCGGATTTATTGGAGCTGTTAAGAAAATATAAATCGCATTCTTTAATAGTATTTAATAGAATTTAAGAGCATAAAAAATGCTTTCGTACAGATCCAATTCGTCGTCATTTCACTCCTCTGAATTGGCTGCCAATAAAGCTGATTCAACTTCAGATTTTGCTGTTGTACAACAGCAATAGTTGGTAAATTGTTCATTTTGGTCTGACAAGATCCACTTTAACAGTTTTTGCTTGTGTTTTTATTAGCCACAGCTGATATGACAGCTGTTGTCGGATGGTAGATGGTGGTTCACATTTCAAAAATCCCAACCGTTTCGAACGGATGGACTGTATGGGAAGGGGGTATTAGTCACTTCTGGGCGATAGAAAGACGATAGTTCACATTTTACAAAAACAAAATTAGTGGAAAAAACAAGGAAGTTTTTTTTTTTGGGTCTTCCTTTTGACTCACGCCATTATTTTTCGCCGGAGCGTCATTTCGTTGCGCTATTTGTCTGTGGACAGTGCGGTTTTGTATCAAATTTGTGCGTTTATAGAAATATATATTAAATGTTCCCTTAAACAAAAGGTTCGAATTTACGTGCTTATCGTGAGCTGTACGATTATCTAAAGCTATCTACGGACAAGCTAGCTGTGGATATTACTTGGCGTTTAACTGCGGAGAAACCCAGCATCCAACGATTCTCAACATATTTCATTGTTTTTACTTTGACTGAACAAAAAACATTTTTTGTTTCTGCTTCTTTTAGAAATGGTTATTAATAAATTTCTTATGTCGACGGAGCTGGGCCTTAATAACATTGTTCCTACGTGCCAGGGACCGTGTATACAAGCGGACAAAGCCCTTATACACAAAATAAATGCAATATATTGAAAGTATAAAAAATATGTTTTTATTCAAGTTTTTCCAATTGGGAAAGACTCTTCTAGATATCTTCTACAAACAAATGTAAAGTCACTTCGAAGTAACTTCCAGAAGTGACTACGGCGACACTTTTAGAAGTTACTTCGGCGATATCGCATTCGGATCGCGGAAGTAACTCCCGTCGGGAAGAAATGTGCCACTTCGGCGGCCTTAACCTTTTTTAATATGTTCATGTTAATTTATTCTTATTTTTTAATATTGTTTTGCTTTAAGTAGTCTATACTTCAGTCGTCCGACATTGAAGCTAAGATATTGAAAGAATTTTACAAATCGAAAAACCTTACCAATCATAGCAGAAGCAAGATATTAACGATTATTGCCAAAAGCTTTTATGAAGGATCTCTAAAAAAACACAAGGCACCAAATGTTCACGACCACGTTGTTGTAATATTTCCGACTGAAGAAAAAGCATTATATTTTCTAAGCAGAAAAGCATGCGGTCGCCAAAACGCGGGGCGTTTGCTATACATTAAAATTCACAACTTGAATCGAAAAAGATATATTTCATTAAAACGTCTTCTCAGCAGTTTAAATTCCGAGTCAGAAAATGAAAGTAAAACCGAATTAGTCGCAAAACTAAAATTTTTGAATGGATCGGAGCCTGAATGTATCGAACTTTGGAAAGAAACTTATGACTTTCGCGCAAAATTCATTAACAAAAACTCAAATGATCTAAATGATAGAATTGCTACTTTTCCAATTTTTAAGCAAGCGAGCGCCAGTAACTTTGTAAGCATATTTTTTTAATGTTAGCCTTTTGTTTTGTCCGTTTTGTATTTTATGCCTTTATAGATATCATGCTTATTTTATTTTATTTTTATATATTTTCAGATAGGTATTGACTTCGATAAACGATTTCCAGGGAAGTCCTACAGGCTAATGACTTTATGAAATAAAACCATTGAAAAACTAACTGCGTTTTTCGATGAAAATCTTAAAAATCCATATTATATCAGCTTGTTTTCCGAAGTAAGGGATGGTGCGTATGTCGGTAAGCTTTTTCAATTAAATCTAAATTAATTTTAGAACATAAAATGTTAAATACCATACTTATTTTAATTTTCTCCTCAGATGTCAAAAATTGCTCTTACTTTAAGTTGCTGCACTTCGTATTAAAACCGACTGTGAGGAGAGTTTTTTGTTTTCTATGGTAGTTATCGACTCAATTTTCGCACATAGTATAGACTGTTTAAAAACCTTTAAGCAACAGTACCTTTGCGAAGCCTATTACTTTTAACGTCAATAACAAAATAACAGAAGTTATTAAGAACAATAGACCTATACAGAGAGAATTCTGACGTTCTGACTGATTTCATCAGCGTTTCGATTTGTTTGTGCCGTATAATTGCAAAAAGTTTAAAGTGATGGATAGTGAAAGTGACGAGCAGTTGTTAAAGTTCCTGAAGGATATTGAAATGGAGTTCGTAAGAAAATTCCATGAAGGTTAGTATTAATTCCTTAGTACTTAGAGCTTTAAAATAAAATACGCTTTTACATCTCTTTTTTCTTTTCTGTGCAGAAAAATCTATGCATAGAATTTTCTCACATACTCCATTTCAATATATTTCAGCAACTTTAATAACTACTTGTCACTTTCACTTTCCATCACTTTAAACTTTTTGCAATATATACGGCACAAACAAATCGAAGCGCAGATGAAATGTGCCAGTTGATTGGTTCAGAAGAAGAAGAGCAAAGAAGAAGGGTCTAACGCGTGCCAAGTGTTAACCGAAAGATACTAACGCGTTATAAATAATCCGCAACACACCATTTCAAGTCGAAATGCAACTCACTTTTCGTTCTATTTTTAGTCCTTTCCGTTCTTACTTTAAAACCATTTTGAGATAATGTGCGTCAAATTAGCGTCGGCCTGTTAGCAACGAAAACGGGAACGGTGGAATATGGAACATGGGGCTCTTTTTATTTTTAAATTTTCTCGCTATTTGGGGACCAAATCGAAAAATCTAAAATGCTAGATTGTTAAGAAAGAAAAGATCTATCGAGCTAGGTAGGTATGGGACACATACGAGGCCTATTAGTGTTTCAAAAAAGCATTTGAAAAATCGTGTCCCCACAATTTTGTTAACTGCTCCCCTCACAGAGGTTGTGCCAATATGCATGATAAACCAAGCTATTAAGGGTTAATTCAAGCTCCTTGTCTGAAAGTTTCATCAAAATCAAACCCACAGTTTTCGAGAAAATAGCCTAACAGTACCGCAACCTCGGATTTTCCCCATACAAAAAAGGGGGGCAAAAATGAAATTACCTACTGCTCCACTCCTAGAGGTTGTGCCAACATGCACGGTATATGGGTAGATAGGGGATAATCTAGGGACTGTTCTGTGAAAGTTTTATCAAAATCAGATTTTGTATGTATGATCTGTGTATGATCGGCGAGCATAGGTTTCGATTCTGGATGGTATAATATAAATTTGTAAATATTCTTATTTAGTAACCCTTTTATTCACTCACGCTGAACCAGAGACTTGGTGTAGTGCTGCTTAATGACATTCTGCAGATGTCGATTCGGTTGCTCTACGGCTTCCGCCTGCCGCTTTGCTCCGCCATTGGCGCGGTGGTCGCCGCTGGCGTCGCCCTCGGCGCCGACGTCGTCCTGGTGACCAGGAGCGGATTGGCGATTGCGTCGTCGGCGCCGGCGTTGTGACTCCTCGCCATCGCCATTCCGATCCTCGTCACCAGGACGACGTCGGCGCCGACTGGCCGGCTCCCCTCCATCGGCGGAGCGCTCCTGCTGCTGCCGACATTCCAACTCCTCGCCATTCCGATCCTCGTTACCAGGACGACGTCGGCGCCGACTGACCGGCTCCCCTTCATCGGCGGAGCGCTCCTGCTGCCGCCGACATTCCAACTCCTCGCCATTCCGATCCTCGTCACCAGCACGACGTCGGCGCCGACTGGCCGGCTCCCCTGCATCAGCGGAGCGCTCCTTCTCGGAATCCCCCAGATACAAATTGGTGATTGTCTGAAAAATAAATTTTTATTGTTAATATAATTAATAAGTAAAATCAAAAATAAACTTACGCATTTTATCATACAAATTGGGCGTGCCATCTTTTCCGTTTCTTCCCGTTTTTCTTTCACCTTACGTCTCTGCACGAGCTTCTCATTCAAAGTAACGGGGATTCTATTCGGCAGTATGGCAACTCCACAATAGCTACTAGGGAATTTTTATATTTTTCTAAAATCAGTAAAATGTTAAATTCTACCAAACCACTGGCTCGATTTCAATGAATTATATATTAAAATAATCAGGAAATAAATACCAATTAGGGGGTGCATACATATAACAATGAAGATTTGATATTAAAAATATATATTTTTGAATATTTGGCGACCAAAAGTACTCGATTGACTCAATTAAGTGTTGTAGGTCGTAGCCTGGCACTTGGCGATATATCGATAAGTACCTTTTTGTGGTAAATGTCTTGGCTGAATTCGCTTCCTCGCTGGTCTTTGAATTGCCTGTAAGTTATTCAGAAATTAGCTTTAATGATGCCCCTTCGAATGCGATACCGTGCAAGTTGGCACAACCTCTGTGAGAGCTGTATGAATTAATTAAAGTTTGCATATATATTTTGATGGTTGATGTCACGGGTCATACGATTTATCGCAGGCCTTGACAGTGTGACCGCGTGGCAAAAGCCATAATTGAAAAGACTTGAATTTCTCGAAAACTGTGGGTTTGAATTGAATTTTCAGCTTTTAAAAATCTGTCCTTATTCCGCGTTTGACATCTACTGATACATAGTTCGAAGAGCGCAGAAGAAATTATATGACATGCCCAGAAACTGAAAAACGAAACTAATACAATCAATGAAGAACCCATATCAACCTGTGATACTTACGATGGTCATGGTCTCAATGGATAAGTCCAAGACTACGGTAGCTTTAAGGCATACTGGCTTCTGGGCCCGCAAAGACAGAAAAATGAACATTTTTCGGCATCGCATGTCGGCCTCGATCAAATTCATCTCGTAAGCCGCCCAGCTGATGTTCTTACTCTGAAATTGCCTGTTTAAATGGGTAGACTTTCCCCTGGTTTATACTTAAGGAGGAGTAGAGGAGATATACCTCCGCCAATGCCAAAGCCAGGAGTAGAACTTGTTTGCCAAAATACTCCGGGCTGTAATCGATGGTTAATTGAAACCCCACTAGGCAGACAAGCAGTGAAGAGGCCATAAAGTTCAATAACAAAGGAACTCCGAAGACGTCGCTTACCACGTCGGTGAGTCTACAGAAAATCCAAAATGGTAATCGTTTAGTTCTTAAGTTGAAAAGTTAGGCATTTAATTTTTTTACCAACCGAAGTATATTGATGTGGTTGACAATCAAGGACCGCAATGCTTTTAAATCCTCCTCAGCTCCTTCAATTTCGTATTGGTTCCTTACCTTGAACTCCCTGAGAGCCCTAGCCAGTCTGTCGTAGTGCATAAGGACCTGAAACACCGCGGCAAAGATTATGATGTCATTGGATATGGCTCCGCAAGTAACCGTGTAGGCAGCGATCGATTGAAAAAAGAAGGTAGGATAAAACATATAGTTGCTATAATCCCAAGGAGCCAAGTCGAAAAACGGAAGTGGATGCTTAACATCTGGCAAATTGAGCACCCATCTCTGAAAGTAGTATACGACTAAAGGAATTAGGACGTGCGCAAAGTACTTGGTGGTCAGCAGACCACCAAAGCCCATTGTGAACATTTTGCTATGTTTAAGGTATCTCTTCACAGCATACTGCTCCTGATCACTTTCGCTTGGCGACGGGAAGCAGGACTCAAATTGCCGAACTAATGTGGTAAGCTTTTTGTTTTTAGACATCACAGAAATAAACTTTAGAAAGCCGACAAGCACGAAAGACAAGTAGCCCCATTTAATGCAGCTCTCGAGGAAATTTTCATCATCCCGCATTATGGTAGAAAAACAAATTATCTCCAAACTGAGAATAAATACAGTGTTGATCCAATTTACCGCAAAGTAAATTTAAAACCAAAATCCGCGCTTTTGGTCCGATTCATAAGGCTCTATACCCAAGGAGTTGTAGAAAATCAGAGCCAGGCTCATAAAATCATCGACAACGTGATAGGCTCTCTTAAGTGTTTTCCTATCTTTATCGTTTCGGTAAGACAAATTATCCTTCAAGGAGTCGACCCTCATTTCGGGTTTGAATTGATTACACAATGAATTGTACGTAAAAGGGTTTCGATTTATATATGCCAATAATTTTGCCGAAACAGCAAGATTTTCATTTCCCCTTAAGAGCTTACACTGAATCAAATACTTTAGCTTTTTTTGTAGTGAAAAAACATAAACATCAGACCATTAAATATTAAAATAGTAAAAGAACGAGACAATACAAGTTACAAATTCAATAAATATTCTATTTAAATTTTATCAAAATTTTAATTACTCAAACCCTTGAAGTAATTAAAATGTATCTAATACGTAGTAATTAACAAATTAAATAAATTTTTTAATACTTTGAAAAATAAAAAAGGCTAATATTTTTCTTAAGTCCCTAAAACCAGTTGTTTTCCACAATTAACTATTACTTATACACATATGTACACAATAGGCAAACCAAACCCTTCAATTATTGATTAGCCAAAAACCTCAACTACCTCTAAAAAATAAATGTTGAATAAATGATTTTGCAGATGTTTTTTACTCCAAGACCTATTAGAATGTTGTTAGGTGAAAAGCGGTTGGCTTATCTATTGGTATAGCATTTTCCCGCTAGTGTACAAAGGCGACTACAATATATAGCCCCAAAATGTAAAATCAGGAGTGAAGTAGAAAAAGTTATATTTAAAAGATTTAAGCTAGGGAAACAGGACACAAAAAATGTACCAATCTTATAATTTGGTTTGTATATTTGTCGGTTTGTCGTATTTTTTTGTGTTACGGACCTGTAATTTTTATATCCATAACTCGTAGAGTAAAAGGGGTATTCTAGATTCGTTGGAAAGTATGTAACAAACAGAAGGAAGCGTTTCCGACCCCATAAAGTATATGGGCACTTCCACCAAAAAGTCTACCACGACCGAAAAATTAAAAGTGATCGGAAAAATCTATCTTAAATATAATTTGAAAGAGAAATAATCATATCTAGTTAATTTATAAGAAACACACCGATTTGTTTACCATGATCCGAGTTGTATAATTGCAAAGTCACGCAATGCATTTTTTTGTTTTTGCACATTTCAACGGGACATTTGGTTTTGATGCTAGATCATAAAAAGCGAGAAAATAATATGACTTTACCTCTCTCAACTCTTTGTTGGAACGTAATGAAAGGGAAAAAAATTAAAAGAGAATTTTGCTACGCGAAATAGCTGTAATTTTTGTAATCCCATTATAGTATTCTCCAATGTCCCGAGCGACATCGGAAAACGTAACTTCTTATCAATACGTCAAAATCTCTCACTGTAAGAACATCAACACTTATACATAAACAGGTATTATCCCGACAAACAAACCCTGGAAAACACTGTTTAAAAATAACAAGAACTGTAAATGTTAAGAATCAACAGTGTTGGTCCCAAACAGCATCATAAGTTTTCGCAAAAAAAAAAGTTTTTTTATGAGTTTAATTCTTTTATTTTTTGTTTTATATAAATATAGATGAATGGCGAAAAGAATAGGAATGGCTGCAAACGTTAGAGAGACAAATTAATAGAGGATAAAGTCAAATTTAAAACATTTAAACTTAAGAAATATGAAAGAAATCGGAATGCTAGGCAAGAGAAAAAAAATGGCTGAAGGAGTTGATAAAATAATCGAAGAAAGAAAGAGACATGAGCGAACAAGAAAAAGAGAACTTAGAAAAAAAGTAAAAAAATTAAAATGTGCAGAAACAAATGAAATCTTGCCTTACTCATGCAAACAAGCTTTTGGAAAAGCAATTAAAAAGTTAGAGAATGCTTTGCCTGCAGATTTGGAACGAAAACATATGTTGATAAAATCATTACATAAAAAATATGTCGGGCACATGGAAAGAGAAGTAAATAATGAAAAATGAATTAATGAAAAGGTGGCTCAGGCCGTCAAAGAGTTTTATACGATGGATGACATCAGTGTGAGGTCCTCGGAAAAGAAGGATACAATGTTTTCTGAAGGGCAACTAGTAGCTAAACGCTTTCTGTTAATGACAGTGTCTGAAGCGTACGAGCTTTTCAAAAATGAGAATACCAACATGGAATTAATAAGCAAATCCACATTTTTTGAATTGCGACCTCGTCATGTACAATTGATAGACAAAATTCCTTACAACATATGCGTTTGCGTATACCATCCCAATTTCAAGTATTTGTTACAAAGCCTCGGAACCATTATACCTTCATTTCTCACCAATTTTTAAAGTTTTCTTAAATCTGTTTGCTTCAATATTTTTAATGAAAATTGCATGACAAACATTTGCAAAAAGTGCATTACAGATATAAAATATCAGTTCATTCCTCTAGCATATTGAAAAAATATGGAAGACGAACGAACCTGGCAGCATTGGTTAAAAAATGATTAGCAAATCAATTTGTGCACTGTTAATGCAACCTCTTTCCGGTCTAATATCGGAAACTAAATTACCTTCTTTTAAAACTCATTTTTTAGTCAAAAGAGTTCAACAGGATTACTTCCAAAAAATTAAATCAAACCTAAAACCGACTGAATTGGCCATTCGGATTGATTTTGCGGAAAACTATAGACTTACAAATCAAAATGAGGTCCAAAGTGCTTACTTTACCTACCGCTAAGCAAATATTTTTACGTGTGTGGCTGGGTTGGCAGGATCAACAAAGTCTTTTGCTGTTATAAGCGACACGCTTACACATAATAAAATAGACGTTTTTATTTTTTTGATGAATCTCCTAACTAAGATTGAGAAATTGCACGGATGTTTTTCTAAAGTTTATATTTTTTTCTGACGGTTGCTGTTCTCAGTTTATAAATAAGTGGATGATGTCAAGCCTGTTTGATTTTGTAAATCATTTGAAATGCGCCTCAATTTAATGGAATTTGCAAGTTCCCATGGAAAGGGAGCCGTTGATGGAGTAACAAAAAAGAAGGTGTGGCAAATAACGAGGTCTAGAAAAGTCGTTATACCAGACGCATTTTCATTTTATGAATATGCTAAAAATAACATTGATATAGTCAATATTTATTTTTTATCTTCCGACAACATTGAAGAGCAGTCCATAGAGTATAACTTACAAGAAAAATGGAACAAAATTAAGAATATTCATGGGATATCTAAATTACACTATTTTTATTGTAATGCCCACGAATTAAAGGCTGCTAGAACAGCTAATTCGGATGAAAAAAAATTGATCAAATTACTTGAATTTAATTATATTATTACAAAGACTTTAATACACATGTATGTATATATTTTTCTAAATAAAAATGTTGTTAAAATGAATAGTTTGTTTATAAAAATACCTCTGTTTATAAAATGAAAATACTTAGTACGCTTTTTTATGATATTTGTCAAATAGAACACCACACAGAGAGAATTATTCAAGTAATTTGCACTCAAATTGAGTATTTTTGTACTCAAAAATTCAGCATGAACAAAAATTCTCACATTGAGTGCAAAGAACTCACTTTCAGTACAAATTTCTCAACAAATCTGTACTTAAACTGAGTACATTTGTGCTCTTTCTTGAACAATTTTCCTCAATATGAGTACAAACTGCACTCATTTTAAGAAATAATTTAGCTTGAATTTTGGAAACGAGTATCCCCTTTTCTCATACTGAGAAATTTCCAGCGCTCAAAATGAGAAACAAGTTCTTGATAGTGAGCTTCTAAATTCTCAAATGAAGAACTTTTGCACTTAAACCCGCGCCACCCATTCCCAGAAAAAAAGGTAAAATATTTTTTTTTATTTTATTTTGTAATACAGTTATATATATACAAACATATTATTTTTTATTTAAGTTTATGTTCCATGTTATGGGTTATGATATTATTCCCTTAGCTGTGTGGTCTTGCGAAAAGCAAAGAGGCTGAAAAGAAAACGTTATTGTTAGCAAATATTGTAAATATATATGCATATATAAATATGAAACAATAAAATTAGAATGTTATTAAATGTACATTTAAAATGCATGTATGTATGTATGTACATTATACATGTACATGTTCCGTGTTCTAGGTTATTATTTTTTCCCTTAGCTGTCTGGTCTAGCGAAGAGCAAAGAGGCTGAAATAGAAAGCGTTATTGTTAGCAAATATTGTAAATATATATGCATATATATGAAACAATCAAATTAGAATGTTATTAAATGTACATTTAATATTATATTTAATTATATGTGTATGTATGTATGTGCAATGTACGTATAAACTAACTAAACTAGACTGCATCACGCCACTTACAATCACACATACAAACATATTAATGTACACGCTTTGGCAATATTTTTGCAGTGTTTGGTTACTGTATCATTGTTTAGCACATTATAAATACAGTTTAAATTAAAAAACTTACCCTCGAGGTACGGAAGGGTCGTACGAATGTCCAGTTCACTAAAATAGTTTTTTAGCTTTGAGTTACGCGCACGTCTTCACTTTGCTAAGTCACACGGCAAATGACAGTCACACAAACGCAATGAACTTAAGGCCGCTCATGTCTCGTCTCGTTCGCAGAACGGAATTCTCTAGAATTCCTTATGAGAATTCGCAACTCATTTTTGAGTTTATCGGTTACTCATAATGAGAATATTAATTCTCAAGTTGGAAATTTAAGAACACATTTCCTCAAACCTAGAATTTTGCGATCAATTCAAGTCCTTTTTCTTAAAATGAGTGCAGCTTTTCTCAACATGAGCTTTTTCCACAAATTTTGTACTTAAATTGAGTACATGTTCAAATTGAGAATACAAATACTCAATTTCAGAACGTCATAATTTTCTCTGTGCAGAAACAACATAAAGATTGTAATCGGAAAAAATGTTCCGAGCGACATGTCCCGAGCGAATATCTTAGAAACTACATTAAAACAAGGAAGATCGCTATAGTCGAGTACCTCGACTATCAGATACCCGTTACTCAGCTAAATAGAGATACGCAAGCAGCAAAGCGAGATTAAAATGCGCCACCTACCGACGGTATACAGAATTAAGCGTTATGGGCGTTAGAGTGGGCGTGGCAAATTTTTTTTTGGATCAATCGATAGGTATTGACGAGACCAATACATTTCTGTCCGTCTGTCCGGATGAATGCTGCGATCTTGGAAACTATAAGAGCTAGGCTATTGAGATTTGGCGTGCATATTCCTGAGCTTCTTACGCAGCGCAAGTTTGGTTCAGCAGAGTGTCACGCCCACTCTAACGCCCACAAGCTGCCGAAAACTGTTGCTCCTACAGTTTTGATGCTATATGCAAAATTTTAACTGAAATGTATTGGTCTCGTCAATACCTATCAGTTGATCCGAAATTGCCACGCCCACTCTAACGCCCATACCGCATATATCTGTCTACCGCCGGCAGGTGGCGCATTTTAATCTCGTTTTGCTGCTTGCATATCTCCATTTCCTTTTGTTCCCTTTAGCTGAGTAACGGGTATCTGATAGTCGAGGTACTCGACTATAGCCTTCTTCCTTGTTTTGTCTTATATGATTGAGCTGAAAAGCATTTGTTTTACAACTTTTTGAAAAACCCACTAGTTTAGCGGGAATAAAGATAAATATGGCTAGAATTCAAATGGTCACGCCTTATTGTTATTTACATGTCTTAAATTTCATGGAAAAGATAAATAAATTAATGTCATTGAAAAGATAATAAAACTTTCAATACATTTACGCATTTGAGATTCGTCCACTTTTGACGTATTACATGTTAATAAGAAGTGCGCTTAGAAGTAATTGAATTCAGTTCAGAGCAAAAAATCTTCATGTTTATTCAAAAGCGCCTAAGACTTTGCAACCGCGGATTGTGGAAGATAATAACTTTTTTAGTACAAGAGAAGACAGTTTTTAATTGAAATAACACTAATAACACTGTTTTTTGTTTTTTTTTTAAATGTACCATAATTAAGACTTTAAGTGCGGAAAGTACACACCGAAATAAGGGGTTGGATCTTATTATAGCGACTTAAATTTAGGAGACAAATTTTATTTTTATTTTTTTTATTTTATTTAACACCGATTTCACTTTCAAGTTTATGTAGGTATGGTATAGTTAATTTAGTTTAATTTTAATTTCGTTAGTTGGCCATATTTTGGGAATCTTTAACATGTGATTAGTCTTTTAATGTTGGAACAATTCATAAAACAGTTTACAATGGTATTCAAATTAAACATTAAAATGTAAAGCTATTAGACCAATTTAAGCTGAATGATGCGTAAGCATTACATCAGAAAATAGCCATATATACTAAATATCAATCATCCGAATAGTATTCAGATATAATAATATTGTGAATTTAGTTGACCTTTACAAATGTCTGATATCAAACAAAAACACCACTTATCGAGTTAAAAAACAAATGACGAGCACCTTCAACATAGAAAAGTTCTGTTATCAAATTGTGTGACAAAAATGCATTACACGATCAAAATTTTTTTTCATTCGGCACGCTTTATTCAAATTGTACATAGAAATAACCGTTTGATATTGTCTCCTCTATCCAAATCATATCAACTACAAAAGTGGATATGAATCCGTAATGTACTGATATGAATACTTAACATTATGATATGATATGATATGATTTTATATACTCCTACAGAGGGTATAATGATTTTAGTCAGAAGTTTGAAACGGGGTAGGCTCATATTCAGTCAATCGAGCAAAAAAAAAGGCAGAAAGCACAGTTGAGTACATCGACTATGAGATACCAGTTACCCGAAATATCCAAGTTCATATTTACGATTTTTTTAAGTTTGTAGGCGGTTTGTGGGCGTTAAAATGGGCGTGGCAAACTTTTTTTAGGTCAATCGATAGGTATTGATGAGAGCAATATATTTCAGTAAAAATGTTGTATCTAGCATGAAAATTGTGGGCGAAACAGATTTAGACGGCTTGTGGGCGTTAGAGTGGGCGTGGCATATTCGCGTAACAAACTTGCGCTGCGTACAAGGCGCCCACAAACCACAATCTCGCCTTGCTGCTTTCATATCTCCATTTCCCTTTGGTCCCTTTAGCTGAGTAACGGGTATCTGATAGTCGAGGTACTCGACCATAGCGTTCTTCCTTCTTAAAAATGTATCCATTCAAAATGTTTTTTACTTCTTTATCGTGACTCCTCCGTATCCTCCTTCATCGGGGTGTTTTAAAATATTATTTCGTTAACTACTGATATCAAACATTTATTTTAAAAACATATTTCGTTCTTTGGAAGGTCATTTTTTTAAAAGTTTATTGTTTTTAAAGACGTTGTCAAATAATTTAATATACATAGTTTTGCAATGTTGCTTTTTTCAAGTACTACTACTTTGACTATATCCCGTATTCCGTACCCCAAAATACGTCGACATGGCGGAAAGCCTAATCGAAATCGGATCTTGAAGATAAAGCCAATTGAAACTTTTTTTGGTCAATTTGATTAACCGAATTTTAGTATGACAATGTTCCGTCTTGTAGGCTTAGTTTTAGTATTCCCTTTGCTTATTTTTATTCGGTTAGTACCTACAGTTTCGGCCTCAAAATTTTAAATTTTAAAAAAGTTTGACCAAGATGTTGAGATTGCTGAATCGAATGAGTATGCCAATTCCCACGGCCAACAGGTGGCACCAGAAGCACCTCACCACGAAGCCCGCCAAATCCTCTTTCTCCAAATTGATGAAGCCTATGAAGGAGTTTAAGCGAAATCGGATTCCCAAGATCAGTGTGGTTGGAGCAGGACAGGTGGGCACGGCGGTCTGTGCCATGCTTTTGCTCCGCAATCTCACCAAATATCTGGTCGTCCTGGACATCAACTACGAGCTGGCCAAAGCGGAGGCCCTGGACTTTCAGCACGGATCCGCCTTCCTGGGCGACGCTCGAGTGGTGCCCTGCGGCGACGGTTCACACTCCAAGGACTCGGATCTGGTGATCATAACGGCCGGAGCCCGGCCATCCGGCAAGGATCGCTCCCGACTGGCCGCGATGCACAAGACCGTCGAGATCCTTAAAGAGGCGGTGCCCAAATTGGTGCAACTGAGCCCCAAAGCGACCTTCATAGTCATCTCGAATCCTGCAGATGTAATGACCTACGCGGTCCAACGGATCGGCAAGCTACCCAAGCATCGCTGCTTCACAACCGGCTGTCATCTGGACTCGGTGCGGTTCCGCAACTTAATTGCCGGACGCCTCCAGGTGCCCCCATCTCAGGTTCAGGGTTACGTGATCGGGGAGCACGGCACCAGTGCGGTGCCAGTGTGGTCCTGCGTCTCCATTGGCGGCATCCGGCTCACCGACGTTGTCAAGGATCTGGCCTGCGGCGATGATCCGGAGAATTGGTGGGAGGTCATCGAACAGGTCACCACGTCCGGAATTGCCGTGGGTAAGGCCAAAGGTTACACCAACTGGGCCATCGCCCTCACCTGTGCGGATGTCGTGGAGGCGATGTGTGGGGGCAGGGGCAAAATCGCCTCCGTCGGTACGGACATGAAGGGTATACAAGGCATCAAGGACAACGTCGTACTATCCTTGCCCTGTTTGGTCCAATCGGGTGGCATTAGTCATGTGTTTGAGCTCCCCCTCACGGCTGTGGAGCAAAGCAAGCTTGAAGCCTCTGCCGAGGTCCTTCTGGAGGCCCAGTGCTCTCTGAAGATTTGAGTCAGTACATCTAACATTTATAGCCTTATAATCGTGCTAACCAACCGCCCGCGGACGTCATAAAAACATAGAGAAACACACGGTAAAAACCACACCCAAAACTCTAGTGGAAAGCAAGAGATGGAGAAGAAGGGAAGAGTGAATAGGCAAGCCCTTTGCCCTTTCCACCTTCTGCTAGAGCAAGCGGGACGTAAATACTCTTGTGTTGCAGACAAGCTATGTGTAAAAACGATTTAAAATTACTTTTGTGCATTTCTGTGAGACTGTGAATAGACATGAAATTTTCTAATTTTCCAAAAAATTATGATTTATTTCTGTTCAAGTAGTGACAATTGTTATATTGGGTCCCCAAGATCTTGAGGGAGGTCTCGAGGAAGGTCTCTTAAAGAAAATCGAAAGTCAAATGTCTCGGAATCGAATAGGTGAACAGCAAAAATGAGAAAGCAAATGATGAGCTCCAGCGAAGAAGTCTCGGGTCTCAAGACGTTTGGGGTTTTCATCGTGGTGAGCCTTGCGCAATTTTTGGAGCCAAGGTCTACGACTGTAGCAGGCGCCCACGAGGCTCAGCAGGTGTTAATGATCGCGTTCCGCTCTCCACATTTTTGTTTGTACTTCCATTATAGTTATTTTGGGAGCAGATGCGCCGAAGCGAATCCACTGGTTGACCTAGGGTTGCGACACGCCAAGATTGTGCAGCATCCCATCTAATAACCACAAGTGTAGCCAAGTGTAACAGTTCACCAGGCGAACAGAAGTTGAGCAGGTGGCCCACTCAAAAGTCGGAGATTTTCAACGCCTCGTTGCATTGCCTGGGAAAATGTTCCGCCACTATTTTGGGCTATTGTTGTAGTAGTGCAAAGACCCGATCGCAATGGGCCACGCCCACGCCACTCGGGCCCTTTCCTATAATTTGTTTAAATAAACGAAAAATGTTTAGCTGTTTTTTTAGCTAATTGAAATTCACTAGGCGCACAGTGCGTGGTGAAAGTGAGCACACACAACCAGATTTACAGCTACCTGCCAGGGGATTTTCGGGGTTTTGGTAGATTTCTATTCGTTCATCAAGTATGGTTCCCTGTTGAAATGCTACAGTTTTTCCCCCAATGTTGCAGTGACATATTTATGGAGAGAACCGAGACCCCCGTGGAGCCCTGTAAATGTGTTTGTTAGTTTTGTTTGTTTTGGTTGTAAAAATCAGAATAGGCGACCAGGCATTTTAGGTAGGGTCTTGAAGCCTATCAAATCTCTAAATATGTTGACCCTAAAATGGTGACTCCCTTCGTCTGCTGTTTACCTATTGAAATGCTACAGTTTCGCATGTGTTTTCGGGGATGCGTGGGATGATCGTAGAACATGTGATGCTGCATTGACCGCATGTTGTTTCCCTAAATGTAGGATTCCCCCTAACTATGTTCGCCTGTTGAATTGCTACACATTTGCATCTTCTGGTTTTTATACCCGTTACTCGTAGAGTAAAAGGGTATACTAGATTCGTCGGAAAGTATGTAACAGGCAGAAGGAAGCGTTTCCGACCCCACAAAGTATATATATTCTTGATCAGGATCACTAGCCGAGTCGATCTAGCCATGTCCGTCTGTCCGTCTGTCCGTCTGTCCGTCTGTCCGTCTGTCCGGATGAACGCTGAGATCTCGGAAACTATGGGAGCTAGGCTATTGAGATTTGGCGTGCAGATTCCTGAGCTTCCTACGCAGCGCAAGTTTGTTTCAGTAGACTGCCACGCCCACTCTAACGCCCACAAACCGCCCAAAACTGTGGCTCCTACAGTTTTGATGCTAGATAGAAAATTTTAACTGAAATGTAATGTTCTCATCAATACCTATCGATTGACCCAAAAAAAAGTTTGCCACGCCCACTTTAACGCCCACAAACCGCAAAACCCTGTGACGCTCACAATTTTCATGCTAGATAAAAAATTTTAACTGAAATGTATTGGTCTCGTCGATACCTATCGATTGATCCAAAAAAAAATTTGCCACGCCCACTCTAACGCCCATAACGCTTAAATCTGTATACCGCCGGTAGGTGGCGCATTTTAATCTCGCTTTGCTGCTTGCATATCTCCATATAGCTGAGTAACGGGTATCTGATAGTCGAGGTACTCGACTATAGCGTTCTTCCTTGTTTTTTCTTCAAATTACATGATTATCTGCGCACCATCGGGTTTTCCCACGCTAATCCCCACACATGCCATCTTCTATTTTCGCTGTGCATCCGAGTGTGACCTTTGAACAGGCGAACAGCCAGTGCAGCCTGCATCGATGCAACCGAGTGCAACGTGAAGATTTTCTCCCCCCTCCGAGGGCTTTGGGTTATATTTAACAAATGCATGCGAGTTTTGGGTTCGCTGCATTTTCGTTTCGGATGCTGGATGCAGTTTTCCACAGCACGATCTCCACCTACTATCAATTTTGTCAGCCTGTTTGGGCTGATCACGCTTCAGTGATCTTCTAAATGGGATTAGGGGAGATTATCTCTCTTTGCGCACCCATTCAACGTATTTGGTTGGCTGTTTGATTCCCTGCTAACCTGTTCTATTGATCTATTTGGTCACGCTTCACTGATTCTTTCTGAAAGTGCCCTTTTGACCCTTCAAATGCCAATCCAAATATTTTTCTGCTTATGTTTCTTACCTGCTTTTGATGCTGGCCTGATCTCTTAATCCGTTTGGTCACAGCTGAATGCATTTCAAGAAAAATGCCTACAGATTAGTAGTTAGGACTCGGACACCCACACTGGTTGCCTTCTTTAAAATATGGAAGCCCGTTCGAATGCTACAGTTCCGTGACTTTTAACCCTTTCTATGTTTCGGGTTTTACACTCTAGAAATTCAAGAAATTCAATATTTGATAGACTCCTTTTAAAATCGTTGTTGGCCTGATATTTTGAACCAGTTCGCTAAGCTTCATTGATTCTTGAGAGGTGGTGGATTTAAAAAATGTGTTGAGTAGAAATCAAACATTTGGAATACAATACGTATTACATATACTTTTTAACCCGAGTGGGGGTATCTATCCACCACATCCCCTGTGCATCCGCGCATGGGCAGTATAAATTTTTCTTAAGGACCAGTTTTCTCTCTTTTCACCTATTAATCTGAAGCCTGTATATGCTTCTTATTTTGAAAGCCTGGTATTTCGGAACACATGGTTGCACTTCAGTGATTTTCACCGAATACATGAGCAGCAGCAGGTAGCAGCTGCCCATATATCCCTGAAATATATAAAATATGAAAAGGCATTTATGTTTTTAAATGCTGTGAGCCTGTTGAAATGCTATAGTTTTAGGATGCTTCCTTTCACTTTCGGAAGTTAAATCTTTGAGATAATGATGCTTCATAAGAAAAGGTGCTCGAACTGCAGCAATGTTATAGGCAAGGAGGTTTTAAATAATTCAGTTTAAAGATCAGGTTTTGAAAGGTACAACAATAGAATAATCTGCGGGTCGTTTTTGTGTTAGCGCAGAATCCTTCGATAAGGATCGATAAGTAGTTTTTGGGATAATTAGTGCTTGTATATTTATGTTATCCTGTTATATTTGTTGATCAAGGTCACTTTTCATTGGGTTTGACCAAAGCAAAAAAAATAAATATAAAATATAAAAAATGTATTTTGTGAAATCTTTAAAAAATGTAATTCCAGATGAAAATCAATTAAGTGTTTACTTAAACGCGTACATCTTAAATTTGTTTCCCAAAAGGTAAAATTTATTCAACTGTATTATTTTTGCTGTTCCCCACTTAATCTATTCTTTAAGTGTTTAGAAAATGTGGTAAAGGTCACAAAAGTGTAACATTTAAACAAGATCCCAGAAATATATGTAGTAATCATCTACATAAGAATCTAGGTTGGACATCGTTTCAATAATGTGGGACATTAGGAAAAACTAATGGTGTTTGTAGAGAAAATGACGTGTGCCCAAAATCTAAACAGAGCAGGCAATCAGAATTTGAAGCAAGGATCATGACGAGGAAAATGTGTCTTGGAAAATGCCCAAACACACCTTTTAGAAAAATCAGTGAAGCGAAACCATTTTCAGAATTAGTCAGGTTAGTGCCCGGAAAAATATTTACCTGCGAGAAATATTTCAGCCCATCAGCGGTCTTTATAGCTTCTTCGGTGAATGGGTTTTTATACCCGGTACTTGCAGAGTAAACGGGTATATTAGACAAGTCGGAAAGTATATAAAAGGAAGAAGAAAGTGTTTTCAAAACTTATGGTGGATCTGTTCTTTCAGCATCATTTTTAATGATTTTCGTTTCGATTTAATGCTTATACCCGTTACTACTACTATTCAGATATATTCATTCTGTAAATAGACTGTCTACGGGACGCCACCTAGGTTTCGCGCTATTTGGCGTATTAGTGAAATCTCGTAAAATTTACAAAAGACATAATTTAAAACCTTTTCTTTTTTTGTTCAAACCCAATGAAACGTGACCTTGATCAACAAATATAAGAGGATAACATAAACATAGAAACCGTAGATGTCGAGAAAAAACACAATCCAACCTGCATATTAGTCAATTGTTGTTACGTTCAAAGCCTGATCTTAAAACTTAATAGTTTAATACATAAATTCCGATTTTGGTATTCCAAACAGAATTACTTTGATTTTAAAAATTTGGCAGTTCTAGCACCTTTTCTCATGGAGCATCATTATCTCAAAGATTTATTTTCCGAAAGTAAAAGGAAGCATCCTAAAACTAAAGCATTTCAACAGGCTCACAGCATTCAAAAACAGAAATACCTTTTTAGATTTTAAATATTTTATGGGTATGTGGGCGCAGGTAGCATCCCGATTTTGGGGTAAAAATGCCTGAAGTGCAACCATGTGTTCCTAAATACCAGGCTTCCAAAAGTAATAGTAAAGTAAATACCAGGCTTCCACAGATCAATAGCTGAAAGTAGCCGAAAACTGGTTCCTGAGAAAACATGAAAGGATGCTGGCTTCGCCAAGCCGAAGTTTATATACTCTTGCAGGTCGTTTCTATGGGAGCAATGTATATAGAGAGTTCTTAGATTTTTAGAAAACTAAAAAGTAATAACAGAAATATTAAGATAGTGTTCCATTTCAATTTACTAGAGTATAAGTTTTACCGAACACGAAATTTGGACGTTGAAATTTTACGTTAGTTTTCCAATCCATTCTATGGCAGCTATATAATATAGTATACATAACATAGTATACACATACAAATATATTATTATATATATATTATTTATTTACTTTTATTTTTTATTTATATTTACTT